TTGATTTACAGCTAGCCCTGTGGGTTGTCTTTAGTTTACACCCTGGGAATCTCGTGTGCCAGTCCATGTACACTTTTTGCCCCGCTATAACATATCTTTTAGGTAGGCAAAATAGTCTCTTCTCTGGAACCCCAGTGGCTCTTACAATAGTCATATATATTTTTTGGGGGGGATAATGACCTAATAGGTTGTGTCATCACCAAATGCTCGGCTCTGCTGTCTACCATAAAGTCTATCAGTTGGCCCCCTATATGTCTGTGGGCTCTTTGGGGGTCCTAAAGGGAATGGAGCCAGTCTGGCTTAGTCCTTGTACACTTTAGTTCTTGCTAGTCTAATGAGGCCACTGTCTGGTTTCTCCCAGAGTGATAGCCTTTAGCAGGTGATCTCCTAGTTTTGGAATTTTTATTATCTCTGTCATCATTTGCTGGACTTTCATTTTTCTGATGCCCATACTTTTTACATTGTGCACACTGATCCTGATCTAACTTTGGTTGACTGGCAGATCCCGGCTTGGTTTGGCTCCTGTTTTGTTTATGTCTGTGTTTTTGTCTCTTAGTGATCTCTGTCTTTTTCTCTGTAAGCACTGTCTTCAACAGATCCTTTTTGTTTTTGAGCCTCTACTTAGCCTCCCATTTTGCCTTCCAGCCTCGGTTAGTATACACCTTGGTGGCTACCTCTAAGAGATGGGTTGCATTTATATTGGCAAAACCTTCTAACTTTTGTAGTTTGTGCCTGAAGTCTCCCTGGGCTTGGCCTACAAAGATAGCATTTACCATGTGCTGATTTTTAGTGGCCTCAGGATTAAAGAGAGTGTCTTGGCCATTCTCCATCTCTGGTTATTATTTTATGTATATTTTCAATTGTTCCCCTGTCCAGCCACCCCATATCAAAGGAAGGCCAATTTATTTCACAAAGAATTTTAACCTTGGGTTGGGGGGTCAGCTTTACTCCATAGTCTCCTGTATAGTCTCTTTTAAAGTTTTTTTTAACAAACTTTTTTTTTTGGTACCAGGGATTGAACTTGGGTGTTTGCGCTTGTGCAGCAGGTGGCGAAACCACTGAACTAAATCCCCAGCCCCAGCAAACTTTTTTTTTGTGGTACTGGGGATCGAACTCGGGACCTTGCACTTGTGAGGCAGGCAACAGCACCACTGAGCTAAATCCCCACCCCTTAACAAACATTTTGATGGGGTGGGTTTTGATGCTTTTTCTCCCATATCAACTCTGTTGCAACACAAATCAGTCTCTCAAGCACTTTCACTTTAGGAACAATCTGAGCTCCATCAAACTAATAAGCAACCATACATATTTTTGAGTCTTTTGAGTAACAGGCAGCTTTTATTTTTGGTACCGGGGATCAAACTCAGGACCTTGTACTTGTGAGGCAGGTGGCAAAACCACTGAGCTAAATCCCCAGCCCTTTACTGTTTGTTTTTTGGTACCAGGGATCAAACTCGGGACCTCGCGCTTTCAAGGCAGGCACCAGCACCAGTGAGCTAAATCCCTGGCCCTCAACAGGGAGCTTTTAGAAGGAACAGCATGGGCTTTTACCAAATCAACAAGCAAATATACATTTTTTTGAAAAATTACCTCCACAGGCTTTCACTCAACATGAGGAAGCTTTTTAATCTGTCATTATCTCTCTTTTTATCTTTCTAACAGAGTAAAATTTTTATCATTCAAAGTCTTCTCATATCAAAACTATACCTCTTAGGGCCGGGGATTTAGCTCAGTGGTTCCGGAGTCTGCCTCAAAAGCGCAAGGTCCTGAGTTCAATGCCTGGTACCAAAAAAAAAATCAAAAGTATAGGGGCTCTTATTTTAAAGTATTGGGCCTCTTATTGTCTTGCTCTACACTCTCCAGCATTTTCCCAGCCTTTTTACTCTATTTATTTACATGTACTCGTGTACTTCTGTTTCCAGTTGTTGTTTTTAACCTGAGTATAGGTTTTGTCAAACTCCCCCTGAATCTGACTAGTCAGTACACCAGTGGCTTTTGTTGGACTCTCCCTGAGTCTGACTACCTGACACTCCCCCTTAGCAAGTCACTCTCATTGTGGGCCTCCCATATGAGTTGTTTGAGAGTTAAGTTTTGCTATGGGCCACCCCCACGTTCCATTTGGGGTTGTAGGTTTTTTCTGACTCAATCCCTGTCAGATTACTATCAGTCTCACCTTTCATCCTAATGGAACAGGCTCCCCTGCAGGCCCCCAAAACCTTACTGTGGTCCTGTAGCACGCTGTTGTTCCAAAATTGTCCTGAATCGCAACAGGTTCCATTGAGCTGGCAGCGGGGGATGTTCCAGGCTGTGGGAGGGCTGATTCCCTCTCCAAGCTGAAGTCTTATCTAGTGGCACCAGAGATCTCAGGATTCCCACAGCTTGGACGCTTCTTGGGCCTGCAGGCAAAGGAGACAGCAGCTCTGTTATCTCCAGTCCTTTCTTGGTTGCCAGAAATGTTGCAGAATTCCAAGAGATAGGAGAGACCCATGGGAATCAGGAGGAATTCACTTTAGGTGAACACTGGCTCAACGGATTCCTGTCCAAAGGAGGAGTGAAAAGCAAATAAAAAGTTCCAGTTTTTATATATTTGGTCAAAGGGGGTGGTGGTCTTTCTAGTGACATAGCAAGTGAGTTTACCACAACGGGACAAGGGCAGTTTTGTAAATTAGCCTTGAAAGAAGACAGAGCCTTGTGAATCTTGTGAGAACAAGATGACATTACCAGAACAAGGAGTGACAGCTACAAAGGAGAGGGGGGTGTTCTGGGAGAACTGCCCAAGGCTGGGAAGAACTTGTTTTTCTTTAAGTCCTGTTTCAGAAGGAGGATCACAAGTTTGAGCCCAGCCTGTGCAATTTAGGGACTTGGTGAGACTCTGTCTCAAAAGTGGGGTGATGTAGCTCAGTGTGAGGGCCCTGGGTTCAATCCCCAGTACTAAGGGTTGGGGGAGAAGGAAGAAATAAAACAGCGGGGATCCACTACAGGTTCATCAGTGAGGTCTGTCTTGCACTAGCCTGGGAAAGCATACTTGGGACCCTGGATGCAGTGTGGGTTGTGATAGAGAACACTTGCTTCTGGAATGGAACAGAACCCTATGATGCACTAGATGGCAGGTGGGGAACTAGGAGCACTTTGTGAAGTGGGGACCATCGGGGCAAGTGGCTCAGGGACGGAATAGGCAGTTTCACAGGTCACTGCCAAGATGTCAATCAGATTTTATTAAATACTTGGTCCTATTGGGAGTGGTATCTGGGGGCACATGAAAGGGAGAGGGCGGAGACCTGGAGGCCTGGGAAGATGGCCAGGTGGCAGAGGTGACCGAGGAAGCAACAGAAGCAGCAGTTTAGAGCCAGAGGAGTTACAGGACCATGGATGGAACCTCAGGATGTCACATAACATCTGACATTTACTGAGCACCTACTATGTACCAGGTGCTTCTCTGAACACATCCCACATATTAACTCACTGGTTCCTCACAACAACCCTCCAAGGAAGGGCTTTGATCAATCTCATTGTAGAGATGAAGAAACTGAGCCACAGAGACGTTAAGTGACTTGCCCCAAAACACACAGTTCTAAGTGGCAGAGGTGGGATTGGACTCATGCTCTTTGGCTCCTAAACCTGATAATGTGCTGTAAGGTCTTATGTGCCTCGTGTGTGTGTAGGGGAGCGTGTCTGGGCAATTCTATGGGAAGAAAACCTGTTTTGTGTTTTTGTGTTTTGGTACTGGGAATTGGATCCAGGGCCTTCTACTGAGCTATACTGCCAGACTTTTTATTTTTTATTTATTTGGTACCGGGGATGGAACTCAGGTCCTTGCGCTTGCACAGCAGGTGGTGAAACAACTGAGCTAAATCCTCGGCCCTTGCCAGCCTTTTTAATTTTTTTATTACAGGGATGTTGTATGAGCCCCATAGGAGCTGTGCAGCCAGGGGGCTTGGACAATATATGGGGTGATCAAAATATACAGTGAGTGTGTAAATTTATTACAGTAAAAGACACTTTGCCATTAGAATACTCAGAATACTCCCCCTTATGATGAACACACTTGTCCCACCGTTCTTGCCATTTTTTTTTAAATTTAAAAAGTTTTCAAATTTATTTATTTATTTTTTAGAAAATCTTGCCACTTTCGGAAGCAATTCTGGAAATTCTCTTTCTGAGTCTCTTTACAAAATGTGATTTAAAAAATATGGTGAATGCTGCTGCGTGTGAGTGCATCCAATGGAAAGGCAGGCTCATAAAAACACTATGTTGCTGGGTGTGGTGGTGCACAGCTGTAATCCCAGCACTTGGGAGGATGAGGCAGGGGGATTTCCATGAGTTCAAGGTCATCCTGGGCTACATAGTGAGTTCAAGGCCAGCCTAAACGACAAAGACCCTGTCTCAAAAAAAATTATGTTGTGGGTTGGGGTGTGGCATACATCTGTAATCCCAGCACTTGGTAAACTGAGTCAGGAGGATCGCTGCAAGTTCAAGGACAGCCTGAGCTACATAGTGAGTTCAAGACCATCCTGGACTATATGGTGAGACCCTATCTCAAAAACAAATAAGAACAAAAAAACCATTATATTTTGTCTTCATCTACCTTATTCACCAGATCAGGCACTGTGTGACTTTTGGCTGTGCCCCACAGTCAAAATGACCATGAAAGGTAAATGTTTTGAATCAATTCAGGATAATAAGGCAGCCACAACTGCACAACTAAAGACACTTATGAAAGAGAACACCCAGGCAGGGCATGGTGGCACGCACCTGCAATCCCAGCACCTCGGAGGCTGAGGCAGGAGGATTACTGCAAGTTCAAGACCAGCCTGGGCTACATAGTGAGTTCAAGCCCAGCCTAAACTACATAGTGAGACCCTGTCTCAAAACAAAATGAAGCAAAACAAAACAAAACCCGCAAAAAAAGAGGACTCCCAGAACTATTTCAGAACGGCAAGACCGATGGGATAAGTGTCTTAGAGGAGAAGGGTTGGATTTTGAGGGGCTTTAATGACAATATACCTTTTACTGTAATACATTTTTAAAATGTTAGCATTCATTGTAGGTTATGATCGCACCAGGTATCCACTGGTCTGCTAGGAAAGAAGGATGCCAGAAGGCTTGAGGTCATCTGAGTGCCACTACATGACAAGGTTCTGCTAGGACAGGAGGCCCGCAAAGGTGAGTTTCTGGCTTTTCTGAACCTGTTTCTCCCATTTCTTCCAATGCCTCCAGAGTCCTTGGGGGAAATGCAGCCCTGGGCAGACCTGTCTGTGGATAAAAAGGGGCATCTTGACACGGGGGCCCTGGCACCCAGCATAAGACAGACAAGTGCCAAGCCGCCCCTCTGTATTCAGCCTCTGTGCCTGGCTGAGGTCCACCTTCCTCAGCTCAGGATAGCAGTCTGAGGGGAGCAAGGGTCCCGGAGCGAGTGGGTCACAAGGGCAGAAAGATAGAGAGGGTCGGGAGGCCAGGTGCAGTGGCACATGCCTGTTGACTTCAGCACTCAGGAGGCTGAGGCAGGATGGGCAACTTAGTGAAACCATCTCAAAAAGAAGCAGACAAAGAAAAAGAGAGGGGGGACGGGCCAGGGATTTAGCTCAGCGGTTTTGCCGCCTGCTGCGCAAGCGCAAGGACCTGAGTTTGATCCCTGGTACCACAAAAAAAAGAAAAACAGAGGGTCAGAAAGTGAGGCTGAAGTGGAGGAGAGAGCTGAAATGGCAGAGAGCAGCAGTCAGGTGAAGAGAGTCTGAGAGGAGGAGACAGAGGTGGCCTTGCCTTGCTCCCCACCCCTGCCCTCGCCAGCCCCACAGGGACAAGCAGGCGAAAACACCCCCACACTGACCTCCTTCTTGACACTCACTGATCCTCCCTCAGCTCTGCCCACCTGCCCTTCTACTGCTGGTCAAGCCCATTAAGCTGCTGCCCTGGCCACAACTGAAGGCCCCACGCCCCAGGGAGGAAACCACTGAAGAGGCGTCCTTACTCCCTTGCACCTCAAACCATCAATTAATATTAACGAGGGAAGGCTGCACACTGCCTAAAGACCCCCAACAGGGTGCAGGTGGAGAGCCCCACCCCGTGTGACTCAGGAAGTTAAAGGACCGGGGGCCATCTGGGAACTCAGAGTGTCCTGATGGCGTGCAGGGACGGGAAGGTCACAATCCAACTGGTGGATGAAGATGCAGGCACAGGAGCCCGGGACCCAGAGCCCTTTCGGGGCCAGAGCTATGAGGCAATCAGAGCAGCCTGCCTGGATTCAGGGATCCTGTTCCGCGACCCCTACTTCCCTGCTGGACCTGATGCCCTTGGCTATGATCGGCTGGGCCCGAACTCCGAGAAGGCTAAAGGGGTGGAATGGAAGAGGCCCAGAGTAAAGTGTTGCACGCCTGGGTCTGAGGGAGGAGGCTGGGCCCAGACCCCTGGGTCTGAGGGAGGAGGTTGGGCCCGGACCCCTGGGTCTGAGGGAGGAGGCTGGGCCTGGACCCCTGGGTCTGAGGGAGGAGGGACTGGGAGTCTTGGCTGGGAGCAGACCTAGCAGCCTGTATTCAGGGAATCCCGGGGAAGCCACACACCTGCCCCCAGGCTCCATGCACTTTCACAGGCTGGAGGACCTTGTCACTCTGGGCTGCCCCTTCTTGCCTTTCCTGGGCTGACCTGGAGCCCCCATCACTCCTAGGAGTTTTGTACCGAGCCTCAGTTCATCTGCGAGGACATGAGCAGGACAGACGTGTGTCAGGGGAGACTGGGTGAGACCCCTGGGCCCGTCTTGAGTCCCAGACCCAGGAGTCCCGGCTGGGACCCTCACAGCTCTATCCCTTGGTCCCCTCCCCTCGGCTCTCCTTTCTCCCTCACCCAGCCCCTGCCTTTTCTCCAGGGAACTGCTGGTTCCTTGCCGCTGCTGCCTCCCTCACTCTGTACCCCCGCCTCCTGTACCGGGTGGTCCCCCCTGGACAGAGCTTCCAAGATGGCTACACAGGTGTCTTCCACTTCCAGGTAGAGCTCGCTTCTTCTGTCCATGCCTCATCTCCCCCCGTGGTTTCATGGGTTTCATCGTTGGCCTTGTCCCTTGGGGCTGTAATAGTTCTAGGGCTCTGGGGCTGGCACAGCAGGGTCGGGGCAGAGGTTGGAAGTTGAGCCCAGGCCTTACCCTTTCCCCTGGCAGCTCTGGCAGTTCGGCCGCTGGGTGGATGTCGTGGTGGATGACAGGCTGCCGGTGCGCGAGGGGAAGCTGATGTTTGTGCACTCGGAGCAGCGGGACGAGTTCTGGGCCCCGCTCCTAGAGAAGGCCTATGCCAAGTGAGGACCCGGGGCCCCAGCCGAAAGCCCAAGACCCGGCAGCAAGTCCAAGCCATGTGGGGTTCCCAGCTGCCAAGGACCCCGAACCAAGTCACAGCCCTCTGAACCTTCACAACAGTTTGCCCCAGGATTTGAGATTTAGGCTCCTCCTTCCTTCCACGTCCCTGAGGACGCTCATGTATCTGGCCCGATTTATTCCTCCGAGGACCTGCAATCTCCGACCATCTCTTGTCATTGAGACATCCAGAGTACCTCCCAAATATGGGCTGTAACCCTGGGACCCTCAAGTCATTCTTTCCGGTCGGTCCCGAGGGTCTGGAATGCCTGAGTCCCTGCAGGCGGCGCCTACGAAGCAGACAGGGCACGGCGCAGGCGCAGGCGCAGTTCTGCACGGCTGCCCCAGGGCTCCCAAACCCTTCCAGTCCCGGTGGCCCCTGGGTGGCCCACAGGTCCAGATCGAGGGCTTTTGGTGTCCACCACGGATAGTCCTGGGCCTCCCCCTGCGGGGACAGAGACTCCAAGGCCTGGGGAGGGGCTGCGGGGCTGGTACCCGCCTGAGACCCGCACCCCTGAGACCCGCACCCCTCACCCCCAGGCTCCATGGTTCCTACGAGGTAATGAGAGGCGGCCACATGAACGAGGCTTTCGTGGACTTCACAGGCGGCGTGGGCGAGGTGCTCTACCTGAGAGGCAACACGCCGGGCCTCTTCTCTGTCGTCCGCCATGCCCTGGCCAAGGAGTCCCTAGTGGGCGCCACTGCCCTGGTGAGAGCTGGACCCCACGCGGCCTCACGGGGTCTGGGCGGACAGGGATGGAGGAGGGCGAGGAAGCTTCCAGTCTTTGCCTCTCAGCTTTTGCTGCTGACTCATTCTCGCTCACAAATCAAACTGCAGCACATTAGGAGGAATTTATTTGCTCTCGTCACAAGCTTCAAGCACAGCTGGATGTGGGTGTTCGGAGGATATTGTAAAACTTTTTCTATCCTGGTTCTGGGTTGGTCCCACTCAGGCAGGCTTTCTCATCATCGGTGCAAAAGGGGACCCCTACAGCTACAGACACACCCCCTTTGCGGGGGTGTAAAATGTAACAAAAAGAGAAGCTGTTTTTGAGAATTTCAACAAGAGTCCCAGGATGGCTCCTCATGGGTTTATGGGCTTGAGTCATGTGTTTATCTGTGACCCCACCACGGACACGTCTTCATTTTCTTCTTTGTTTCTGTTTGTTTTTTGAGACAGGGTCTTGCTATGTAGTTTAGACTGACCTGGAACTCCCTAAGGAGCCCAGGTTGGCTTGAACTTGTGATGATCCTCCTGCCTCAGCCTCTGCAGTGCTGGGATTACAGGCATGAGCCACACTCCCGGGTTCATTCCTTCATTAAGCTGTTCTAACTCATCCATTCCTCTAACCCTGTACCTGGTTACTGAGGCTTTTTCTCTGTGCCTCCCTGGTCTGTATGTAGCTTGGTCTCTGGCTCCATCCCCCTTTCCATCTTGTTCTGTCTCTCATTTCCATCTCCCTCTCCCTCCTGTCTCACCCTCATCCCCCAGCCCCGCACCCTTTCTGGGCCCTGGGCTGGGCTGTGCCATGCTGTGCTCTGACTTGCTGTGGTGGAAGGAGGTTGGGGCCTGCTGTCCATCGGGAGCTCACTGTCCCCATCTCCGCTCAGAGTGACCGGGGCGAGTACCGTACAGAAGAGGGGCTGGTGAAAGGACATGCGTATTCAGTCACAGGCACACACAAGGTGAGCTGTCCCTGTGGGTGAGCTGGCAGGGGTGTCCAGGGGCCACTGCCACTCACTGTGCTGTCCTCAGGTGTCCCTGGGTTTCACCAAGGTGCGGCTGCTGAGGCTGCGGAACCCATGGGGCCGCGTGGAGTGGACGGGGCCCTGGAGTGACAGGTGGGACGGGCCTTGGGTGGGTGGGGGCTGTGTCCTGCCTGCTGCCCCTCACATCCAGCTCTCCAGGTGCCCATGCTGGGATGCGCTGCCCCTGGAGTGGCAAGAAGCCCTACTGGTGAGGAAGGAGGATGGTGAGTTCTGGTGAGTTGTGGGCTCCCAGCTCTGCCTCCGTGAGGGCCGCTGGGTCAGGGGATGAGGGACAGGGTAAGAAGGGATGAGGAGAGGGCCAGGGATTTAGCTCAGTGGTTCCGGCGCCTGGCTTGCAAGCACAAGGTCCTGAGTTCGATCCCCGGCACCAAAAATAAAAAATAAAGAAAAAGAAGGGATGAGGAGAAATTGGTGAGGGTGCGTCCTCCTCCTAGGCAGAAACTATCCATAGCAGCAGTAATGTTGGGGTCAAGGAAGAAGGAAGTGGAGGCATAGTAAGCACTGGAGGGTTGAATGGGGCCAGGCAGGATTTAGGTATGTAGTGGAGTTGAGGGAGGTTTGGTGACATTTGGGGGCATTTCTTGAGATGTAGCAATACTGAGGTTCTGAAGGATACTTGTTACTATTGGGGTTTTCATATTTTTTTCCAGTACTGGGGATTGAACCCAGGGTCCTTGTATTGAGCAACATCTCCAGCCCTTTTATAATTTTTTATTTCGATACAGCATCTTGTTAAGTTACTAAGTTGTCCAGGTTAGGTGCAAACATAAGATCCTCCTGCCCCAAACTCCTAGTAGGCTGAGATTATAGGCATGCACCATCCTACTTGGCTTCTTGGCGTTTTATAAAAGCAATTTGATGATATTTGGGGCAGTCTGTGACAGCAGTTTGTGGGGCATTTCTTTTCTTTTTTTCTTTTTGGTTTTTTGAGACAGGGTTTTGTTATTAGTTCAGGCTGGCCTTGAACTCACTATGTAGCCCAGGCTGGCCTCGAGCTGACAGTGATCCTCCTGCCTCAGCCTCCCAAGTGCTGGGATCACAGGTGTGCGCCACCACACCTGGCAGTGGGGCATTTCTGAAACTTGGACACCTAGGGGACCTGCAGGGCTTGGTGATTTCTGGATTGATGGGGACTTGGCAGTATTTAAGGACCTGAGGGGCGTTATGATTGGGGGTCAGTTCTGGGGTCTTGAGCTATTTGGGATCCCCTCCAGGATGGAGCTGCAGGATTTCCTCCAGCACTTCAACACCATCCAGATCTGCTCCCTGAGCCCCGAGGTGCTAGGCCCCAATCCGGCTGGGGCCGGCTGGCACATCCACACCTTCCAGGGCCGGTGGGTTCGTGGCTTCAACTCTGGCGGGAGCCAGCCCAGTGCTGGTGAGGCCTGAGGGGCCTGGAGGGGTGTGCTGGGGGTGGGGCCCTGGCAGCCTAGGGACCCCGCTTTTTCCTCCCTTCCTAGAAACCTTCTGGACCAATCCCCAGTTCCGGCTCACGCTGCTGGAGCCTGATGAGGAGGAGGAGGAGGATGACGACGAGGACGAAGGGGGGCCCTGGGGAGGCTGGGGGGCAGCAGGGGCGAGGGGCCCTGCGAGAGGGGGCCGTACCCCCAAATGCACAGTCCTCTTGTCGCTCATCCAGCGCAACCAGCGGTGCCTGAGGGCCAAGGGCCTCACTTACCTCACTGTGGGCTTCCACGTGTTCCAGGTGAGGCCTGGAGGGTCGGGGTCCTGGGGGGTAGGAGCCAGGCAGACTGAGGGGATCAGGGTGGAGAAAGGCCGGAGCCCAGAGGGGAGCAGAGAACCAAGGAGGCCGAGAAGGGATTGGCTTGGTGGCACAGGCCTATCATCCCAGCACTCTGGGAGGCTGAGGCAGGGGGATGTCAAGTTCGAGCCCAGCCTGCGGAATTTAGCAAGATGTCTCACCCCCTAAAAAAGCTGAGGAGGGGTCTAAGGGGACAGATGGGGGAGGGGAGGGCTGGGAAGGATCGGAGGGGGTCTGGCTCGGGACTGGGGCCAGATTCAATGCAGAATGAAGGACAAGGGGGACGGAGGACGAGGGAGGGTCTGAGAGGTGTGGAGGGGCGGGAGTAGGCGGTGAGCGGTGGCACCTCCTCCGCCCTGACCCCGCCCCTCGCTCCTTACAGATTCCGGAGGAGGTGGGTCTCACACGGGGCCCAGACCCCACCCCTCGGCCCGCCCCGGCTGGCTCGGTCAGCCTGCGCGGAGAAGTCCAGGAGGGGGCGGGCGGGGGGGGCTACAGTGGGGCGGCTTTAGTCACGGCGCCCGGTCCGCAGCTGCTGGGCCTCTGGGATTCGCCGCACAGCCGCGAGCTCCTGTCCGGGCTGCTGCGCGCCGATCGCTCGGTCTTCTGCGCTCGCCGCGACGTGAGCCGCCGCTGCCGCCTGCGCCCCGGCCACTACCTCGTGGTGCCCAGCGCCTCCCGCGTCGGCGACGAGGCCGACTTCACGCTGCGCATTTTCTCTGAGCGCAGCCACACTGCAGTGTGAGCCGCTGACCCCGACGCCCAGCCCTGATCCGAGAATCCCTATCCCTGCCCCGGACACCTCAGGACCCCCCCAGTACCCCTCCCCCCCGCTCACGAGGCCAAGGTCCCGAGACCCCAGCCGATTCCTCCCCTGAGACCCCTTCTGCCCCACAGCCCAACCGTGGGTGACCAGCACCCCATCTCTCGTCTCATTTTGCAGGGAGATCGATGACGTGATCAGCGCTGACCTGCAGACCCTCATGGTGCGGGGTGCACTGGGAGGGGCAGGACGCGGGAGGGGAGGGTTGGGGCCGGGACTGAACCCCTCCTCCCGTAGGTCCCCTCCAAGCCTCTGGAGCTGGAGTTGGTGCAGCTGTTTCTGGAGCTGGCTGGGGAGGTGAGGGGGCCAGGGCCGGGGTTCTCTCCCTGGCCCTGAGCCCTCAATTTGCTTTTCCTTCCCTCCTTCCCTTGAGCTTCTTTTCTGGAAATGGTCACAGATCTTCCCTGCCTGGACCCCCTGGTTGTGTCTGCATCTGGGCCCTGGACCCCTTCTTTCCCTTCACACTGGCTGCCAGCCTCAGGTCTCATCTTCCCCACGTGCCCTTCTCTGTCCCCATCACTTGCCCCCTGTGGGCGTCCACAGCCCAGCACTTCTCCCCTTGTTGCCCTGGCCACTCTGGAGCAGGTCTGTCTCCCGCACTGTGAACCCTGAGAGGGCAGGTCTGGGGCTCTCAGGCACTGTAGATCCCCAGCACTGTCCAGCACAGCCTGGCCCACAGTGGTTTGTTGACTGGCTGCATGAGTGAATGACCTCACCAGTGGCTCTTTCCCTGCCTAGGAGGAAGAACTCAATGCCTATCAGCTCCAGACCTTGCTAAGCATTGCCCTGCAGCCAGGTGAGTTGGGGTGGGGGACTGTTGGCCAGGAGTTCTTGTGACCATAGCCAGAGCCCCTCAGAGCCTCCCGTGTGTGTTAATTCTCAATGCTGCTAAGGGTGAGGCCATAGCAGCTCAGCTCGGCAGCATCTCCTTGCCTGTGGCCCATGGTGGTCCCTGTGGCCAGGCAGGGCCACAGCCACTCATGAGCTCCTCTTCCTCTGTGAGGCAGTGCTCAGAGTGCCTGTGATGCAGACTGGGAACTCCCACCTAGACTTAAATCCCAGCTCTGCTAGCTATAGCTGCCAAAGGCTTTCTGTGACTGTTTCTGTAAAAGGGCCATTCAGGGGGTTGTGTCCACCTTGCAAAGGGGGCCCACATACAGGCAGTGCCAAGGCTGTTTTTTCTTGCAGCCAGGGGCAACACTAGGAACTCTGGGGAGATTGGGCTCAGGACCTGTGAGCAGCTGCTGCAGTGTTTTGGGGTACAGTGCCTGGGAACCCGGCATGGGGAGGGTTCCTTTTTTAGGGACATTGACCTTATCCAGATGGCTCCCCTCCCTCACAGAATGGGCAAAGCCTGGCCCTGCACCACTTCCAGCAGCTCTGGGGCCACCTCCTGATGTGGCAGGTAAGGTAGAGGCTGGGCAGGGCTGCCTCTTCCTGGCCAGGCACCCTGTGGGCCACTGGGGCCCCAGGAAACAAGGCGAGACTGGGCCACCCTGTGTAGACCTGGAGTGACCTGGTCGGGATGTCCCTGCCCTGTCCTCCGGTGGTCCCTATAGAGATGGAGATCACATCCTCTGGTCTTGGATTGGACTCTAGACTCCGGCTCAGCCTCATTCAGGCTGGGTGGCCCCTGGTACGTCCCATCCCCTCCCCTCCCAGGGACCTCTGCTTGGCTACACGTGGGAGGCCCAGTCCCTGTGGGGAGGAGATGGCCCAGGGCCTCTCCATAGTGCTAACCCTGAGAAGCCAGTACCTGGAGCCCTCCCTAAGCCTGTGGGTAGACTCAAATTGTCCTCTACACCTGTGTGCCCCCACACTGCACACCCCCCATCAGAGGAAGGGGCAATATCCAGGGCAGATAGCCAGGTAGCAGAGTGCTGAGCTGGGAGCTGGCTCTGGCCTCTGAGGTCTCCTTCAGCTTCTTTAGGGTACACGAGTGTGCCCGGCCCTCGGGGCTGGGACCAGACTGACCTACTCCTCCCTCTGCAGGCCAGATTTGACAAGTTTGATGAGGACACCTCTGGGACCATGAACTCCTACGAGCTTCGGCTGGCACTGAATGCCGCAGGTGTGAACCTTGGGGTGGTTGGGGGACGGCCTGCTCTCCCTTTGGTCCCACCTGAGTCCTCTCTGCCTGCCCAGGTGCAGCCATTCACAAGGCCTCTTCCCAGCAGGGCCTGGGTGGGATCCTCTTGGTGTGGACTGAGGGGCCCCCAGGAACATTGGGAACATTGGGCACTGCCTTCCCGGGCAGTATGGTGGAATGTTCTGGATCTGGTGAGCTTGGGTTGGAATCCTCACTGTATGGACTTCCTGCTGGGACATGACTCCCTTGGTGGGCCTGCATCACTGTGTGAGGGTGGCCTGTGGGGTGACACTGCATAGGCACCTTTGCGAGGAATGCAGTTCCCATCACCACACAATGCCCCAAAAGAGGGCAGTGAAGCTGGGTGTGGTGGAAAACGCCTGTAATCCCAGCACTCTGGGAGGCTGAGGCAGGAGAATCAAGCCCAGCCTTCCTGAGCAACTTAGTGAACACTTGTATCAAAATAAATGGCTGGGGTGTGGGGGGGAAATGGCTGGGGATGTAGCTCAGTGGGAAAGCTCTGAGTTCAATCCCAAGAACCACCAAAAAGAAACAAAAAAGGAGGTGGCAACAGCTTCTGCTGCAGAGGAGGGAGAGCCAGCCTGTTCCCTGGGTGTGGAAGCACAAATCCCTAAGCCAGCCTTGGGGAGAACCAGCAGATCTGGATCCAGTGGGATCCTCTTGGGGTAGAGGACGGACAGGGTCAGCCAGCCTGAGGGCCAATCTGCCACAGAACAGTAGAGCTGTGGGGGAACCGGAGGCCAGGGTGACTGGGACCCAGTCAGAGACAAGAGGGCTGCCAGTGTGGGGGGTGGGCAGGTGCCCGGGGATCTGTAAGGCCAGCTGAACCTAAGTCGGGGAGGTGGCATTAGAGTAGAAGACTGGGAGTTGTGGTGTGGAGTCCCAGCAGAGAGACAGGAGCAGAAGTGAGGGGTGAGGAAGCCAGGCATGAGAGTGGACACCTGGAATCTCAGCACTCTGGGAGGCTGAGGCAGGAGGATTACAAGTTGAAGCTCAGCCTGGGCAACTTAGTGACTTGAGAACCTGTCTCAAAATGGAAAATAAGGGCTGGGGATGTAGCTCATCATGAAGGCCTATGTTCAATTCCTAGTACCACACACACACACAAAGAAAAAAATAAGAATTTGCCTCTGATGTGGAGCATGAAGGAGTGACTACATACCTGACTGCCAAGCATGTTTCTGCCACCCAAAGGGATTTCTAGTGTCCAAGTGACTTAGGTGCCAGGTACCATGCACATGACAAGCCCTCCATCTCCACACCCCTGTGGGCCAGGGCTCGGTCCCCACCTGACAGAGGAGACACCTCAGAGAAGTGAAGGCAGTGGCCTGGGCCACATGGATGGGATTGGACAGAGCCTGTCGGGGTACGGTGTGGAAGTGGGGCTCATGGGGGCTCCTTCCCTAGGCTTCCACCTGAACAACCAGCTGACCCAGGCCCTCACCAGCCGCTACCGGGACAGCCGGCTTCGTGTGGACTTTGAGCACTTCGTGTCCTGCGTGGCCCAGCTTACCTGCATCTTTCGTGAGTGCCAGCCCTGCTCGTTGGGCACAGGGCAGTGTCTCCGACTGGGAGACTGGGGGCGGCGGGTGCTCACTGTCCCTCTCTGCACAGGTCACTGCAGCCAGCACCTGCACGGGGGCGAGGGGGTCATCTGCCTGACACACAGACAGGTGAGTTGGGCCGGAGGGACAGGGTGTCTCTGGTGCCATTCGGGGACCCTGGCCTCAAGCCTGCCACTTCCTTCTCTCATGCAGTGGACGGAGGTGGCCACCTTCTCCTAGAAAGTCAGGTCAGCCCCTGCTGCCCAAGGCCTGCCCCTCCCAGTGTGGTGCTAGCTGGGTGCCCAGCTGGCTGAAGGATGAGGCCAACATTCCCGGACCAGGCCGCCTCTCTGTGCTCGGCTATCCTCAACCGCACTGTGGGTCAGCACCGGCACTTTCTGTGCATCCCACTGCCCTGTGTTAGTCCCTGCTCCCCTTTAGACGCAGGCGGGCCCACAGCATCTTTGATTTTACACAGGATGGGACTGGCGTCTGCGGGTCACACTCTCCCGAGAGGTGGAGAACAGAAAGAGAGGACACTGGAGGGATCCTTCTTAAAAATATTTTATTATCCTGTCCCCAGAAGGGTGGTTTATCCAGAAACCAAGAAAAAAATCAATCAGAATAAACTCAAAAGGGGGGGGGGGCAAAACCATCAACTACCAGGCAGCAGGCCAGCAGCCCACCTCCAACTCAGGAGGTCCCCAGAGACCCCTGCGTGACGCACACGAGGACGACAATCAGGAAGGGGCCAGGAGGGCAGCAAATCAGCTATGTCTTCATTATGAGAGCAAAAGAGGCGGCAAAGATATGTTGCTAGGTGAATATATATTTATATAATAAATCCGTAAGTTAATAAAGTAAATAGTAATCCTCTGAAAGTTTTTATAGGTTTTTTTTTGAGGGGTTTTTTTTGAGGGGTTTTTTTGGTTTTTTTTGTTCTATTTTTGTTGTTTGTTTTGGTCCTTAGAAAATCTGAGATGGCAAGTCCAGACAAAGCAAGGCCAGGGAGGGCTGGGGCAAGGGCCCAAGCTGCCTCCCTGGCCCCTCTGTGGCGCTGAGGGGGTGCTGGGTGGGCACCTCAGCTCCTGGCAATCACAGATGTGGCTGGGGAGGCAGGGAAAGGAGCGGGCTGGTCCAGTGGGTAGCTGCTGCGCCCTCTGCTGGACCGTCTGTAGGGCAAGGCGGTTCCTGGACAAGGCACATGGGGCTTTGGCCCGGATGTGGGAGGCCTGGAAGGGACCTCAAGGGCAAAGGGAAGGACCTGGGTGTGGAGGGGCATCCCCAGGACACAGAGGGGACCTGCATTCCTATGGGGATCTGCTGTTTCCTCCACATAGGTTAAAAAAAAAAAAAAAAAACACCACAATGACGTATCATATATATTTACCAGACCAGAGGCACTGACCCCAAGTGTCTCCCTTCCCCTACCTGATGGGGGAACCTCCTGGCCAACCAACAAGAGAGGAGAGAGCCTGCCCTAGCCCCTCCCTGCCCACCCACCCACCCACCCACCCCCAAAGGCCCGACAGAGAGTGCTTTGCATAGATACAGAGTCAGGGAAATGGGGAGGCCCGGGCCCCTCCGGGAGGCCTCGGGGAAGGTGTGGTCCGGTCGCTGGGGGGCCTCACAGGTCGCTCTCACCGTACAGGGCTGTGGAGAAGGACTTGTAGTCCAGGGCGCCGGGTACGGTGTCGGGGCCCTGGTAGGGCGCCATACGGGCAATGCAGTACTCGGCCTGGTCAGGGGGCAGCTCTCTCCGCAGCTCCTCAGCTGTGATGAAGTTCTGGGGGCAGCAGGGGGAACTCTGAACCATCCCCACCCCATGTCAACGCTCCCCAGCCCCTCACCAGTGGGGCCGAGAGCTCCCACCCACCTGGGTGCCTCTAGGGGTCTCACCTTGTCCCCTGCCAGCACCTTGAAGGAGGCAATGACCTGGTCGGCTGTGTCTGTGTCAGTGGTCTCCCTCGACATAAAGTCAATGAAGGCTTGGAAGGTGACGAGGCCACTGTGGTTGGGGTCAACCACGCTCATGATGCGGTTGAACTCAGCATCGCCCTGTGAGGGGGTGGGTGGAGGGGACAGCCAGGTAAGGACCGGTGGGTGCATTCAGGCCCTCAGGAGAGCAGCCAGGAGAGTGGGCTGCATCATCAGCCCAGGCAGAGCCTGCACTGCGCCGACTCCCCAGGCCCTGACACGGAGCTGTCCCTGCATCCTCCCCTCCCACGGTCTCGGGAAGTGGGGAGTTGGGGTCTACTGCCCCCAGTCCCAGGCTTACAAGTTAGCTCTGGAGGGTGGGGAAGAAAGAAAGAGAGAAAGAGAAAGACAAGGGAAGAGAGTGGGAGGACTGCCCCCCTCTCTCTGGAGGCTTCCTGGGCAGAGGGGGCTCAGGGAGTCATCGGAGGGACCCCAGACCGCAGATGCAGCGCCTGTGGCAGGCAAGGCCAGGCTGCTCTGCGGGGGAGTGTCCCCGAGGACATGGAAGCTCTGGAGGCGGTGAGGAGGCGGGAAGAGGCGAGGAGGAGGAGGAGGAGGAGGAGCAGGAGCAGTGGCAAGGGAGGCAGAGGCTGCATACCAGGCTGTATCCTGTGGAGATAAGCAGAGCCCTGAAGTCATCGGAGTCCATGCTGCCTGTCTGCTTCTGCTCCCAGGACGCAGGCATAGCAGAGGAGACCAGGCCCAGAGTAGGCAAGAGGGGCCGCCCCAAGTGCACAGCGGGCAGACAAGACAGTGGCAGGAGCAGGGAGACAGGAGGCCCCAAGAGACCAGGTAAGGGAAAGGTGTCCAAGAGACACGAGGGCAGGGAGGCAAGAGAGCCAGTGAGATGGCACACACGATGGCAGGGATGGCAGAGGGAGGGGAGAGAGAGGAGAGAGAGAAAGAGAAGAGTAGTTAATGCCACGGTCCGCTGCCCGGGGGTGTGCATACCTGCCGGTCGTTCTCCACGTCGTAGCCCAGGCTGATGAGGCAGGCCTTGAACTCCTCGGGCCCCAGGGCCCCGCCATGATCCTGCCGGGCCATCGAAGGCAGGTACACGGGGTGGGGATGTGTGGAGATCAGGCCGCAGAGAGGCGGGAGAGGGGCCAGGGGCACATGCAGAGGCCAAGGGAGGGGGACACATGGGGAAGGGAGAAACAGAGTTAGAGGTGACAAAGACGAGGTGATGGCCAGGGATGGGAGGGTCAGGAGGCCCCTCACCCTGGCTCTGCCTGGAGGGGTCCCCGGCGACTTCTGGGCCAGAGAAGAAGGTAAGAGAGTTCTCTCTTCCTTCAGGATTTGGGCAAAGAAGGGGCATGAGGGGGCCACCTGCTGGTTCAGGGCAGAAACTGCACTTGCACCCATGGAAGCCACACACAGGAAGTTGGCCCAGTGGGGCCATCTAGAAAAGGAGTTATGCTCTGATGGTCAGGCCCCTCTGAAGGGGCTGCCACACCAAACCTGAATCTCAACAACACTGTGTGGGGCCAGGTTCCCGAGCCAGACCCAGATCCTGAGTGTGCTGGAACTTCACCTGTCCCAGGGTCTCAGTGGCAGATGTCATGGACACAGCCCAGCAGCAGCTTGGAGACTTCCTTCCCACCCCACCTCTCCTGGGAGTACCCAACATCCCCTGAGTGCTGGGACCCTGCCCATGGCAGTGGCTGATGCTTAGTGGACTGCTGTGAATGAACAACAGACGCAAAGACAGGAGGGCAAGAGGGAACAGTGACAATGGGGAGGGAAGGCGCTAGAGGTGAGGGTGGGGCTCACCTTGTCGAAGTGGTTGAAGGATGCCCGGAACTCTTGCATCTGCTCCTGACTGATGCCCTTGGCGTCTCGGGTGAGGATCTGGTTTTCGATCTCGTTGATGGTGCGGGCGATGGTGGTGAGCAGCTGCTCCCAGCCCACACGGATATGCTACGGGGGGGAGGCAGGTGTGACCGTGAGCTGGTGGCTGTCCTGTCCTGTCCTGAGAGTGTGTGTGTGGCACTAGCCGGGTCAGGTCTCCCCTGGGCACCACCCCCACCCACGCTCTCCTATACACTCCTTTGCACAGGGGGACATGGGGCCGAGGCGCCTCCCTGCTGTCTCTGCCAACCGACGGGGTGAATCCACTCCTGGGGACGCAGCACAAGGGCAAGGACACTAGGCACTTGTGCCAGGACCCACATGGCAACATTTTAGAGACCCATGATTGGTGTTTGAAGACAGGCTGGGGGTGAAGGGGAGAACATACAACTCCACGCTAGTTTGTGGCTTCTATGGGCTACATGGTGCGATGCTCTGTCCAGCATGCATTTCAAGCTCCTGAAATCCTGGACATGTTAACCTGGTCTTGCTGCTGCGCTGCCCCAGCACAGAAACTGGGCCTCAAACACAGTTGAAACTTCGAGGTTACAGGCAGGGCTAGGAGTGGCAAAGGTGACTCCTCCCTGGTCCCCGGGGAATTGTGTCCAAAGACACAACTGTCATGGTGATGGGAGGGCACAGCTAGGAAAGTGTGACTTTAAAAACATGTCAGCAGTCTGGCCTAGTCTATCCAATCATTTTTTTTTTTGGTACCAGGGGTTGAACTCAGGACCTTGTGCTTGCAAGGCAGCCTCGGCACCACTGAGCTAAATCCCCAGCCCTCTTTCCAATCATTTCAACAGCAAAAATAGAGGTGACTGAGCAAACAGTGGACTGGCAAACCTATTTTGTTTTTTTGTTGTGTTTTTTGGTACCAGAGATCGAACTCGGGTCCCTGTGCTTGCACAGCAGGCGGTAAAACCACTGAGCTAAATCCCTGGCCTGGGCAAACCTATTTTGAATGGGGAGCCTGGGGCAGGGCTCAGGGCTGGGTGCGCACCTCCATGGTGTAGTTGGTGTGCTTGTTGTCGAAGATGAGGGCCTCTTGGATGAGCTGGTGCTGCTGCTCCAGCAGGTCCAGGTTGGGCTTGTAGTCCACGATGCTGCGCTCGTACTGCTTCAGGTGGTTCAGCTGGTCCTCCAGTGTCCCGTTCATCTCGATGGAGATGCGCCCAATCTCCTGTGGGGAGGCGGGGCCAGGGTCAGGTGAGGCCTCAGCCACGGCCTGCCCACCCTCAACCTGGAAGGCCCGCTGCCCTGACTGCCCCTCCGGGTCCCTTTCTCTTGTGTAAAAGCAGCTGATAGGGACCTGTGCCGTGCACTTCATACCACCTAACTTCACTGAGCCCTTGAACTCTCCAAGAGACTCAGGCCCTGACTGCAGATGGGAAAACCGAGGCTCAGAGACAAGTTCCTACATTTAGGGGCACAGCCAGGATCTGAACTCAGGCCTGGTTGGATTTAGAACCCATGGTTCCTGGCCAAAGGCACCCCATGCTCTTGGCTCCTGCCAGCTACACACACTTGGAGCCACACTGCACCTCCAGGCTGGCTGCCTGGCATCTCCGGCCCTCACAGGCTGGCTTTCAGCAAGGCTGCTCACAGCTACTTGGTACATGGTGAGCGCTCAGTAAGTGGGAACCAGAGCCACTACCGGCAGCATTTCAAACCCTCTGTGGCTATCATGAGGGTCCCTTCTGAGCTGTGAACTTAGGCACTCAGATGGGGCCCACAGAATGTGGTGACTGTCTTCTCCCCATCTGAGAGCCGAGACCTGAGGATCAGAGGCTTGAGCCCACATCTACCTGACCCTCAGCCAGGTTTCTCTGGCTGGCACAGCCATTTTCATCCGTGTAATTCTGCTGGCCCTTGGCAGTCTGCTGGGGGTCAGCCACGAGGTGCCCACTCTCACCTCCATCTTGGTCTGGATCCAGGGCCCCACCACGTTGGCCTGGCTGGCAAACTGGCGGCGGAGGTGCTCGTTGGACTGCTGTTTGCTCTGTTCCTCCATGAGTGCATGGTCCCGCTTTGGCACCAGCTGCTGCACCTGAGACGCCACGCAGCAGAAGTGTGAGGGGGTGGGGGTGGTGCCCACACCTGGCTGCAGAACCCCAGCCCCCGTGAGGGGCCCCAGCCCACCTTCTCCCACTTGGAGTTGATGATCTGGGGGGTGACAGTGGTGTAGGGGTTGCTGGCTGACAGCTTGATGTGGTTGCTCTCGGCGATCCTCTGGGCCTCTTTGTGGATGGCCAGGATGGCCTCTCGCTCCCTATCAGCATCTGGCAGCGTCGACTTGAACTGGTCGTGTGCTGAGATCAGGCCCTGGGGGATGAGCAGGAGTGAGGGGCAGCCTGGCCCTCCAGGGGTCACCCAGGGGGTGCAGTGGGGCAGGGCGGACCTCAATCTCCTCGATGGTGTGCACAATGAACATGTCCTGGAGGTCCTCCATGGCGCTCTCCATCCAGTTGTTGAAAGGGGCGGCCCGCTTGGCATACTCCAGGTGTAGCTGGTCAATGGTCTCCAGCTGCTTCTCTGTTTTCTGGGGTGTTATGGAAAGGTGGAGGGACAGCAAAAGGAAGGCAGGTCAGTTGGTGAGGGGGGAGGATGGGGGAGGTCAGCAATTGTGCCCCCAGGTGGCCATGAGCTCATGGATGCGGGCACCATTCGCCCTACCCACCATCCCAAGGGCAGTGGGGAACCACAGCTTGGTGGGTGACAAGGCCTGCTCCTCACCTCCAGGGCTTCCCTGCGACTGTGGGTCAGGTTGCCCAGGGCATCCCACTGGTCACAGATCTTCTGGCACCGGGTGTTGACATTGTGGGAGTCATAGTAATCCAGCTCACTGTGGGAGGTCAGACAGTGTGAGACCAAGCAGGGCTGTGCTTGGTCCCTTTGCCCTGCGGTACAGGCCACACAGCAAGACAGCAGTAACTGACCAGGCCTCTGCTCTGGACTGTGACACCCGGGGGCAGGAGGAATGGGTGCAGGGTAGGAGCTTCCGGCTGCTCGCCCACCTCTCTCTGCGGGGCCTGGGTTGCAGCCCTTCCACCAGGCCTGGCGTCCAGGCTGCCCTCTGGTTTTAAAGGACAACTAGCAGTGTAAAAACTGTAACAATGTGCCAAACGCCCCAGGCTGGGAATGTAGCTCTAGGATTTTTGACTCTTTTGACCCAGGCCAGGAACCTTCCTTTCTCTGGACACCTCAATTTTCCCATGTGGAAAATGAGAAGAAAGTTATTGCAGGGATCCAATTAATGTGTGTGAAGTGCTCAGAGCAGACTCTGGGGCCTAGCAAGTGAAAGCAGCAATAGCTATTAAGGGTTTAGTTTACTTCAGTGGGGCATTAAGACAACACATCTAACTACCCCATGATCTCATTCTAAGCCACTAATCATTACTTAAGAAAAAAAGTCAGTTGACCTTAAAAAGCAAATAAACTCATACAGTGCTCACCCCTCCCTTTGAGGGGTTTGGTTTTCCACAGTTTCAGTTATTCTGTGGTCTAAAAATACTTGTCTTGACTCAAGAGAAGGACCTCATTCCTATTAACTTTTCTAAGAGTTGTAATTGCACTGTTTTGCTATTAATATTGCTATTCTCCTACTGTGCCTAGTGTATGAGACACAGGGTTTATTTAGTACTGTCTGCATTATCAGGCAGCCAGTGGGGCGTTGGCCTGCACCCCTGCAGAGGGAGGCTGCTGTACAGGCTGCAGAGAGGGAGGCTTCTGAGTGACTGTGGTAGGGAGTTGCTAGGCCAACAGCTGTTGCTAGCCCTGACCCCACACTCTCCCTGCTCCTCTGCTGTCTCCTATCCTCAGCCTCAGGACCTCTGCCTGCTGGGGTCCAGGCAGGCACCCTATGCGCTTAGTGAGGAACAACTCTGGGGAGGACAAGGTGAGCCATCCACAGCTTGGCAAGCAGAACACAGTGGCTGAAGGAGAACAGGCAAGGGCTGGGAGAGGGCGCAAGGCCATGCTCCCTGGCATCAATCCTGCCTCTACTACTCCCCAACCAGGGAAAGGCCCATGGCCTCCCAGTGCCTCTGTCTCCTAGGACTACTTTGGCTGCAGTGGGGATTAAATGAGCTGATGTATGCAGTGCTCTGAGTACTGTGAACTTTCCCTGTCACCACCATTAATCAACACTCAGTGGACAGCCCCCAGTCATCCCAGACAGTCCCTAGGCCTGACATCCTTGGGAGAGAGGGCAGCACCCAAACAACCCTCCCAACCCTCCCTCTCTATTCTCCAGGGCTCCTATCCTGAAAGCAGCTTCAGGGACCACCTTGCCGGCTGGTACAAAGCCTGTGAAGCAGGCTGGCCCAGCATCCACTTAAGGTCTTTTCCCCACGAGCTTCCACCTGCTGTGGCCCTGCACCGGCGTCCTTGCTCTCATTGGTCTGCACATGCAGGACCCCCAGGGGTGTCATGGTATTAAATATGGGTGCTGTGGGTCCCAGCACTGTGGAGGGCCCACCATCCTCTGCCTCTGTTAAGCAAATAGGGACCCTAAAGCAACTGGGCAGTGGGGAAGGAGGAGCCAGGGAGGAAACCAGCCCCCCCCCACAGGTCCCACTGGCATCAGAGCTGGGCACCATCCTTGCAGGAACAGCAGAGCTTTGGGGATGACTGTGGTGGGGAGGGGGCGTCTGTGTAAAGGGTAGTTCTAGCCAAGGAGTCTATTTTTGAGCAGAGGGCTATTTTGGGATCCCTGTGCCCCTCCAGGGCCTGTGGATTTTCCATGAAGTAATGGCCTAGGCCTCCCACTCCCTGGGCCCTCCCTTCTGCTGGCGGCTACACTGGTGGAATAAGGCCTCATTCACTGGCTTCAGGGGCTCAGTGTACTAATTGTACGCACAAGTTTATCTGACTGGGGTGGGGAAGGGACGGGAAGGACTCGGCTGCTTGGAAACCCTTACAATAAGTGTATTCTGAGCAAGAAGGAAGGGGCGGGGCATAACAATGGACTCACTGTGCAGCCTTGTTCCCTCAGGGAGGAGTGGCTGGGAGCAGGAGAGGGTAGGCAGCCCCCACATCAGGGCCATGGGCCTGCTTGGTACAGCAGCAGGGGAAGTGGAGCCACAGGCACCCCTAAAACCTGAGGGCTTGGGACAAGGGGCCAGAGACTTCCCTCTGCAGGAGAATCTAGGTCTCTTATTTTCCTCATCCCAGGGTGAGACAGGCTGGGCTGAAGGCCTCATCCCAAAAGGCCCCCCGGCCCCCAGTATCTGGAAGGCATAAAGGTGGAAGGTCTGGGGACCTCACTCTAGGCCTCCAGGCAGGCTGGACTTTGGGATTCTTCTGCCACCACTGTGGCCAGGGCACTGGAGGGGGCACTGGACCGTTAGTCCTGGTCTACACATACTTAAGCTCCTGGGCAATCGCTGCAATCTGCTCCACACGGTCCTGATGTGCAGCCAGGTCACTCTCGAAGGCCTCATGCTTGCGGATAAGAGCCTTGATGTCTGACAGGGTGGCTGTTTCATAGTCTCGGTGCTTCAGCATGGCTTCCTTTCCTGTGGTGGGGGCAGAGAGACACACAGACAATAGCAGAGTGACTATAGGACATGAGTGTGTGTGTGCGCGCGCGCGCACGTGTGTGTGTCTAATCAGGAGGAGGCAAGATGCATGCAGACTCTGTATCTTTCCTCGCTGAGGATGGTGCCACCAAGGCTAGAAAGTTCCAGAACCTTGTCACCTAGGGATGGATCTCTAGGCTCCACTATGTCCTGGACAACCCTAGGAAGCACTTTGGAGATTGTGGACCTGAGACAAATATCTCAACTCAGCCCACATGTTCTAAACTTAGTGTGTTTTACTGGTAAGACTATAAGAACTGGGTGGTGGCACTATGGCCAGAAAATAGACACCCATTTCTGGAGCTCCATGACCCAGAGAAGGCCCTGGGCTTGCAGCCACACCCCAGGAGGGCAGGTTAGATGGGGCAGCATGGAGTCTGAGGTCTTCCAGGAGCCTGGCCCTGTGCTTATCTGCTCCTGGCTCTTCAAAGCTAAGTTCCCAAGTGGTGGTCCTATCACATCTCTGCCACCTCCAACTGTCCCAAGGCTTTCTCTGTGCAGAAGGGAGGGGCCCACCATTAGGCCCTTTGAAGGCAGGGAGGAACACTGTTATTAGTCCTGGAGCCTGGCTAATTACACACCCCAGAACAAAAGCTCAAGCCAGCCCAGCAAACAAGTTAAGGGACTATATGGAACTCAGGGAAAATACTAGCCTGGGAAGGTGGTCAGGACCCCCAGTTCCCACAGGGGCCCCTTTAGGTGTGCCCCCTCACCTTCCCCTGGAGTGGCAGCTCAGGGATCCCCACAGCTCTGCCCTGGAGCCCTACACAAACAAATGCCCACTCAGTGCAGTGTCGAGGAGCCCTGAGTCTGACCCCATCTGCAAAACTGGGCTATTCTGTTTCAGAGGGGTGGTGTTCAAGAACGGTGGGCATGGGGGCCGGGGATTTAGCTCAGTGGTTTCACCACCTGCTGCACAGGCGCAAGGACCGGAGTTTGATCCCCAGTACTAAAAACAAAACAAAACAAAACAAACAAGGTGGGCATGGAGCCAGCCAGTACTGTCCTCGACTCACCCTGTCTCATCTGCCTTGTAACTACCCACAGGCCCAGAACAAGGCCTGACACTGGAGATAAGAGGTGGACCACCTGGGAGACGGAACACTGGCCCTGCCACCCCTGCTGTGGGGCAGGAGGCTTAGCCACAAAGGCAAGCTTGCAACTCCCTGCTCCAAACTGCTTTCTCCCAAGCGTGAGAACCAGAAGTAGCAGGTTAGTTCTCCGCCTCAGTAGAGTTTCAGCAGGAGCTGGCCAGGGTGCCTGGGAGGAACGGGGAGCAGGCCAAGAAGGAAGGAAGGAAGGAAGGGGCTTGGTATCTGTTTTTGTCCCCGAGCTTCTCACTCAGTCCCTCTGAGAAGCATTCACATGAACCCTCAACCCTGCTGGTTGTGGGCACAGAGGGTGCCCCAAGCCAGCCCTGAAACCCCCACTCAGGGCTGAGAAGGCACCCCTAACTGGGTCCTAATAGAGCTGAGAAGCCTTGGGGCTGGCCTGTCCTTCAGAGGAGTCAGGTCAGAGTAAGGTCTAGAGAAGGAGTGGGCTGGCTGCATGGGGGGTGGGGGTGGGTCTGGGCTACGCAGGGTCAGGGCTGGATGCCAAAGTGGCTGCAGGGGGTTGGGGGTGGGTGCCAGGCAGGCAAGGTGGGGCAGGGTAAAGGGAGGCTGTTGAACCAGGTGGGCCCTGGGTGAGACTGAGCTACCTTCTAAAGGCCCCTAGGAGAGGGCCGCTCCACAGGCAGTCCCAGGGACTCACACTCACCCTCACCCCCTAGCCTCAGTAACCATCTTCCTGGGCCTCCTGGAGCCCTAGGTGGATGCTGAAGGGCTTCCACAGAAGGGAAACCCACAGGGATGATGTCACAGCCACCAAGGAGGGCTGAGATGCAGCACAGGAGCCATCTGAGCAAGTGTGGAACACAGGTGGTGAATAATCTCTATCACCCAGGGGCCCTCTGACAAGAGCAATGCCAAAAACCTGCTGGCCAGAGCATTCCCCATGAAGGGGCCTCAGCTACTTGGGACACTACTGTGCACAGGGCCAGGCACAGGGAGGTGGGTCTGGAGATGTTTGTTGAATGAATGAACAAATGAACTAAATGCCAACCTCCTTTACTCACAAAACGGCATCCCAGCTAATACATTAATGGGTAACGGTTCTGTGAGCCACACAGAAGGGACTGCTCCCCTGAGCCTTATCATCTGTCTCTCTGCATTCTTTCCCTGGCGAGAAGGGATTAGGGTTGCTCTGGGTCTGGCAGAGGCTGTTGGAGAACAAGGGGGCTGGGCTAAACCGAGGAGGGCAAGAGCTACCCTGCAGCCAGGAACACAGGGTGAGGTGGGCCTGGGCCTGTGGTTTGTGCAGGATTGCTCATGGGTGCCTATGAGAGGCGTCTCAGCATCTGGCCAGAGCTGGGGCTGCCTGCTCACACAGCTGGTACCCGGAGGCTCAGTGAGGATATCACAGGGAGCTGGGGGTGCGAGATGAGGAATCACATTGAGCAGGCAAGGAAGTGTGACTCAGCTGGGTAGCAGTGGCAGGAGGGCCAAGGGATAAGTGGGAAAGAGGCAATTACAAGCAAGACGGAGTTCTGGGGGGAGACTTCTTTTTAATGGTGCTGGAGACTGAACCCAGGGCCTCCACTGCACCACAGCCCCAACTCTTTTGCTTTCCCAGGCACTGGCAGTTTCCTGAGGGCTTTCAGGCCCCTGGGATCTGGAGTCTCAGCCATGGCGTGGGTCCCAACTGAGAGCCAGGGACGTGATGGAATTCTACATTCTGAGCCAAATGGACAGGCAGCTGCTGGGCTGCCGAGAGGCAGGAGGTGACACTGCCCTTTTAGGAGAAGCCATCCTGCGGCAGCCGGGGCCCTGGGAAGGAAGCTGTGGGCTGTGCAGGAAGCGAGATGAAGCTAGCAGGGTGTCTGGTAGTCACTGAGCAGTCTGTGGGTCAGGCAGTAGAGGCAGGAGGCAGCTCTCTGGCCTGGGCTGGCCTTTAATAAGTGAGCTGGGGAACACAGACCCATCTAACATGGGCTCCTCAGCATGAAGCCCACAGCCACAACCGTGTGGGAGCGGAGAGGCAGACTGAACACGGTGCAGGGAGGAGGGGGACAGGATGGGGGTTGGCTGTGTTCCAGGATGACTGATCTTTGATGACCCAGAAAGCAGCCCTCTGTTAGTAACCACTGAGGCCAGAGCAGACTGGGCACTAAGGAGGACATGGCACCAAGTGTGCCTTGTGGCCTGGGGCTGGATAAACCTAAAGTGGCACTTCTGACACACAGGAAAAGGACTGATACATACAACCTACATAATAGAGGTACTGTGTGCACAGGTACATGCATGAGTCTGAGAGCCATGCAAGATGAGCGGGACCAGGAGGCCCATACCATCAGTCCAGGCCTCGTGGATGGAAGCCTTCTGCCGGAACTTCTCTGCCAGGTGGTCGAGCCGCTCCAGCCTTCGGATTTCATTCAGCAGCCACTCTTCGTAGCCCTTCTCAGCCTGCTCCAGGTGCTGCCAGCCATTGTTAATGTCCTGCGAGGGTGGGAGAGGGCAGGGCTACCACAGGGATTCTGTCTGACTTTGCTGCTGTGTCTAGACAGGTCGCACACACTGTGTCAATCTTTCAGATTAACTGGGAATCTGTGAACCAGTGGATAAATGATTGGAAGGATGCTGTAAATAAGGCTATGAGAGCTGAAGGTGACTGTTCAGGGGACACTGCCCTTCCCCCAGGATAAAGGGCCTCAAGCACTTGCTAATCCTGGAGGCGGGGCAGTCCAGATCCTTGGGAAGTCTAGAAAACTCTGGGTGTAAAACCTAGGGAGTGAGTGAGGGAGTGTGGCAGTGGATGCACACACACCCTCATCCACACCAAGGGCTGTGTGTTTTGATTAAGAGACAATGCTGGCCACACAGCAAGTGAAGCTATTCCAGAGCCCTTCTGGGCACTCACCGAGACCATCCTGCCCTCAGAGGGCATGAAGGCCGGCCGGTTGCTGAGGCGCAGCTTGGTCTGCAGTGTGTTGAAGTTGATCTCCAGCTGGCACTTCTCTTGCACCTTGGGCGGCTTGTGGACACGCCGATAGTCACGGAAATCCTCCAGCTTCTGCTGCATCTCCTGGATGGTCCTTTGGGGCACACGGTCCTCCAGCCAGGGGATGGTGCGCCGGATCCACTCCAGGAGCTGGGGGCCCACAAGAGGTCATGGTACCTTTGAAGGGGGTGCACAGAGCACCGACAGGGCTGCCCCCCAGCTTATGGGCACATGGGATATCTGGACCTTCAAGGGCCCCATCTTTAGGGGTGTCCCTGGTCCAACTTCATGATTCCTACTGGGATTCCACACCCTGCAATGGTGGGAACATGTCCTCCCTCCCACCCCCAGCCACTGTGCTGCTCTCTGGCTACTTCCTGTCTGCAACTCTGCTCTTAAGTCTTCTTTTCTTTTCTCAGATCTAAGTGGGTGAGCTCAACTCAAATGCCCCCTCCTCAGAAGCTCCCAACCACAGTGCCACACAACTCAGTGTAGCCGGTTTTACTGAACTCAGCTCTGAGAGCTGCACTGCCTGGCTCAGTGACCATGTAACTACCATAGGGCAGGGGCCCATGTTGCCCCCACAAAACTCAGGGGTGGCCAGTGTGGACACAATGTCTGAGACATTAAAAATTAGAAAATGGAAAAAGTAACATGAATTCTTCCAATTTTAATATATGTGCTGCTGAAGCGAGCACAAGTAACATGAATTCTTATAAACTACTGTGATCTTTGATGCAGGGTTCAGACAAGCAAATAGACTGGGCAGCATTCTATCCCAGGAGAGTAAAGCCAGTTAGTTTTCAGTACAGACATGCCCAGAGAAGTGGCTTCCAAACACCAATCCTGGTAACGTAAGAAAACTAAGGACCGAGACATCTTCATAGTAATGCTCTCCTTTTTTTTGAGTATTAAGGATTAAACCTAGGGGTGTTCTACCATTCTACCACTGAGAATACATCCCCAGCCCTCTTTATTTTTTATTTATTTTTGTGTGTGTGTGTGTGCCGGGGATCGAACTCGGGTCCTTGCGCTTGCGAGGCAGGCGACGGAACCACTGAGCTAAATCCCCGGCCCCAGCCCTCTTTATTTTTATTTCAGTCAGAGTGTGAACTTTGTGATCTTCCTGCCTCAGCCTCTCAAGTAGCTGGAATGACAGATGCGTACCATCATGCCTGACCATAGTGTGTATCTTAGTGTACAGTGTCAACTGCACTTTTGTGACAATGGCTGGGCCCTAGGAATAACCTTTTGGCTTGCCCTGGTGTTAGGGATGATGGCTATAGCAGAGTAGCTTCGCCTTGCATGCGCGTGTGTATGGTGGTGGTGGGATGGAACCCAGGACCTTGTGCATGCACACACTCGGCAAGTACGGCACCACCGGGCTATGTCCCCACCCCCAACCTTTGCCCTTCTTTGTAAAAGATTCTTAACTGGGCAAAACAGAGTTGGCCATTCTAGGCTGGCTGTTAAATACTTCTCAAATTTTCCTTGTTCATGTAATCTCAAAGCCTGGCCCCACTGGTTCTAGAACAGTCAATGATGGCTGAGAATCTCTGTAGGAACCAAAGCTCAGGACCCAGGAGCCAGCTGGCATGGTGACCACCTGTTTGACCAAACCAAAAGGTCACATCCTGACTCGGTCAAACTCCTTTCTTCTAGAAAGGTCTAGACCTCCATGGCCTTTCTAGAAGATCCTGCTTTCTTCCTGCAAGTGTCTCAAAGACCTTCAGTGATGGGTAATAAGAGGTGACCTTGTCTTTTAGCTCTACTAAGGCCACAGGGAGAGGGGAGGGACACACTCACGTCACTGGCCAGCCGCTCATAGTCCTCCATTAGGTGTTCATTCTCCTGGTTGACAGCCAGTACCTTGCAGATCCGGTTGGCTGCAGTCTCGGCCTGGGGGAGACACACACAGTGAGTGCTGCTGGGGCTGCTGACCCTCCCTCCGGACAGCCATGTCCTCTGCAAGTAGTTTGTCCATGGCCCACACAGAACTCTCCAAGGAGGGAGAGAAGAGGAAACACAGCTCCAGAAGACGGCCTTGAGTAGTCAAGACCTGACAGGCCTTGTCGGCCTCCTTAGTTTACTGCAAAAACCCCACACCTAGGGAGCTGGCCCCTAGAGGCACTGAGAAGGGTTGGAGAGCCCTCCTGCTTCGAGAACAGCCCTCCAATGCCATGTGAGGAGGGCAGGCGAGGCTGTGTCAGGCCTCAGTCCTGGAAGGGGCTTCCCCAAGGTGGGTAGGTAGTGGAGGGAGCTGGGGACTCAGAGCTGGGGTGCTGTGTCCTGGAGGAGCCTGGTAGTCAGTGCAGGCACACAGCACACTCAGCCCCTTCCTTCTGCCCTCAGAGGTGGGTGGCACCAGGAGCTCGTGCAGCAGAAGTCAGAGTCCATGGGACAGATGGAAGCCAGGGCTTTGGAGATGGGGAATTAGCCCCTGGCCCTAAAATAGAGGAGCACATCTGGCCTTGTCCTGATGGGGAAGTGGACAATGTGCAGTAGGACGGGAGGGTGCCACACAGGGAGAAGAGACCAGGTACCTTTCAGGAAGCACAGAAAGGGTCCGAGAGGAGTTGAAACAGCAACAGAACAGGAACAGAAATAGAGGGTCTACAGAGCGATGGGGAGGAAAACAGAGAGGCTTGGGAGATGGCTCCAGGTCAGGCTCGCTACAGGTACCACCATCCCGCCTCTCCCATCCACACACTGCACAGGGACAGGTGGGGAGGCGGGGGCCAACAAGGCTGGACGAGTGCGTGAACACGGGGTTCATAACAGCAGGATGCACGATGCACACCCAGGGTGCCAGGAAGCACTGCTGAGTGCGGTTCACAGTGGTGCTGGCCAGGACAGCAGCCTGAGCCTAGTGCAGAAAGCACAACCTGGGGTGCGGCTGGTGAGGTGGCAGAGGGGTCAATTTCCTGACCCCCACCTGGGCGGAGACCTGGAACCCCAAGCTCACAACCACGCTGCCGCCCATCAGAGAAGCCTGTTTTCACTGCCGTTGGGTGCCCAGGGTTAGGAATATTTGAATGGTATGGAGAGGAGGAGCAAATGCATTAATATCTAGAAATAATAACCAGCAGAGAAGGGCACATTTGGTCCTAAGCCTGGGGCTCACCTGGTGTGTAGGAAACAAAAACCTGAGAGTATTGTTTAAGAGTTCAGGTGAGTCTCTGGAGACAGGACCTCAGCAACAAAAAGCATCCCAAGGCCGTCCTGAGAGGTACATTCAGAAAAGGATGGTGTTTTGAGACCAGGTCTCACTGTGTAGCCAAGGCTGGTCTTGAGCTCAAGGTGATCCTCTTGCCTCAGCTTCCCGAGTACTGGGATTGCAGGAGTATGCCACCGTGCCTGGCAGTAAAGGCTGAAGACAGCCTCAACCCTGCACTCTTCTTCTGGACCAGCAGCTCCCTGTATGCTGGCCTCGACCTCTTCCCTCCTAAGGGCCAGGAATAGCCTTCTGGGCCCAGCTTCCTTAAAGCCCCTGAAATGCTCTGACTTGGACTTTCTGGCTAGGACCTGCTCCCACAATCCCTAGGCCCTTCTCTGACCACTGCACCAGAGTGCAGCTCCAAGAACAAATGGCATTTTGAGTAGAAGGAAAAGCAATCTGGTAAGGGCAATGTGGTGGGCAGAGAGCCCCACAGGGGGCAAGTGCAACAGCAAACATACTGTTAGTTGGGGTTCGTGGGGAGGAATCTTCTATCACTGCCCATCCTGACCCGCCAACTTGGGTGCCCGCTATACTATGCCCATCAACAGCACACTTCAAACACAGGCTCCGGTCACATGCTGGGCAGGTGAAGGGCCCCACTCGCCCGTGTGGTCAGGGGCTGGGAAGAACCATCCTCATCCCTGCAACAACCCGCAGGGCCCTGTGAAGCCCTGGCCATTTACACAGCCTTCGCCCTGCCAGACTCTGTCTCCAGCCCTGCCAGACTCCCCCTCCAGTGGGAGCTCATCTCACCCTCAGAACAACCCTGTGCGAGGGACAGCATGCTCCTTGTTTCACAGATGGGAAAACTGGGGTGAAGGGACCAAGAGGTGGCAGAGTAGGGCCCACAGCACTGCCCCAATGGATGTGGGTTCTAATCACATGGTCTACACACAACAGCGGACTGCAATGTCCTCCTCTTTTCAGTTGGCCCAACCACATTCTGTCTCCCGGGCACACAGCAACTCCTAGAAGGTCTGGGCATATGATGTCTTTAGGGGGGGCAAGTGTTCAGGAAACAAGCACTGGCTCCTCCTCCCCTGCTCACTTGCCAAGTGCTAACACACAGTCAAGTTGGCAGGAGCATGCCGCTGTCCGAGACACTTCAGAGACCAGGAAGGAAGACAGGTACCCAGACCTCCATCCAGACAGGAGCCTTGGAGCAGCCAGGTCAGCCAGGCTCAGGGAGAGCCGCCTGCTGTATGCTCTCAGCAGGGCTTCAGGAGGAGAAGCTGCACTGCTCCCCAGCAAGAGGGCCAGTACACACGGGCCATAGCGTGAGGAGGCAGCACAGCCAAGTGGTCAACTCCCAACTGTGGCACTGGGCTTCTGTTCCCTTGTCTGACCATCTGGGACACCACCACCCAGCTCACAGGGCGGGCGTACTTAAAGGCAGATCATCTGTGGGCCCAAGTACAGCTCCACACTGGCCAAACAGCAGGAAGATGGAGAGCCCCATGGTCACGGGAAGCCTGCCTAGGTGGCCCCGCCAAGACTCCAATCACACATGGACAGACGGTGGTGATGTGAGGGTGACAGAGAGGGTAAGTATGCAGCTGCAGCAGCAAGGAGTCCACCCGCCCCAGCTCACCTTCTGGGCCCCCGAGAAAGCGTGGTAGAAGCAGGACACGTAAGTCATGATGGCCTTCTCATCTGGCCTCAGAGTGCCCACAATATCTGCGCAGAGAGAGAGAGAGAGAAAGAGAGAGGCAGGAGAGAGTGAAAGATGCAGGGAGGGCGGCCAGCTGGCCGGAGGCTCATGCAGGAGGAATAGCGCTTGCTCTGGACTGGAAGCCAGCCCTGGCTCAGGCCTGGGTAGGTGCAGCCTGCCAAGGTGTGTCAGGGAGAAAGGAGGGTACCAATGAGGTGCCTTCCTTTTCCATCCAGGACAGGGTTTGAAACAGACTAGCCACAGCCTCTATAGAGGCCTTTGTTCTGGGCCAGAGGAGTCAATACAGAATTTCTTTTCTTTTTTTTTTATTTTTGGTACCGGGGATCGAACTCAGGACCTTGCACTTGCGCGGCAGGTGCCAGAACCACTGAGCTAAATCCCTGGCCCAATACAGAATTTCTTTATGAGAACCTAAATGGGATTGTGACCACCTCTGATGGTCTCCCCCTCAGAGTAAAACACAATCTCTTATCCCAAACTATGATGATCCTTCAGGCCTGGGTTCTGTCACCTGGTTTCTCACCTCTCCTCTCCTCTAGCCTGTCTTTGAATAAGCCAATGTATTCCTGCCTTAGGGCCTTTGCACAGCTTCACCCTCTGCCTAGAATGCCTTCGCCAGTCTTCACTTGCAGCTCCTCATCACTTGACGAGCCTGCTCATGTCACCCCTTCCTGCTAAAATGTCCCAGGTAAAAGTCACCCAAGTTATTTCTACCCCCATCCTGTCCTGAATTCTCTACTGTGCTTCTCACATGGAATGCGTTCTCCACTGATGTGTGCTGTCTCACTGTCTAGGATGTGAGCTTTCTTATAGCAGCAACCTTGCCTGGTTTAGTTCAGTCACAACCATTCTCACTGCCTGCACTAGACCCTGGCACAGACTTGGAGCTCAAAAGGTTTTGTGAGCAAGGACTGAGTGGCCAGCGATGCCCAGGACGAGGGGGTTGGCTTCCAGTCACCAGAGAGAGGCCACTGCCGTCTGCAAGAAAAATGAGGTGAGCGTGGGAGGCGAGAGTAGCAGCGGCATTGGGCAGTGGCGGCGAGGAGGGCCTGCCTGGCCCTGCCCGGTACCTTCTGCGCTCCCGAAAAGGCATGGTAGAAGCTGGACACATAGGTCATTATGGCCTTCTCGTCGGGCCGGGCCGTGTTCACGATGTCTGCAAGCGAATAACAAGGTTAAACCGCCCGAGAAGGGGGTGTTCTCACCAGGACCCACGGCTCCCAAGGCCACAGCGGTCCTGTGAGAAGGACCCTCAGAGCAGTCGGTGGCACCTGGTAACTTGGGTGGGCTCAGCCACCCCTTCAGCACCATCTCCACCCCCGTGGTCTCAGGAAAGGCCAAGGCTGTGGGAACTGCATTAAAATGAGACCACTTCCTTTTGAGAATGATCTCAAGGGGCTGCAGGACAGTCAACCCAGAGGGCTACCAGAGGCCAGAGACATGGGTCTTGGCTGGGGTGTTGCTGGCTGGGAAATGGAGCAAAGCCGGAAAAGGAAAAAACAAAACATTCCATTCTGGAGGGCTCCAGAGCCCGCGCCTGCCACAGGCAGGGAGGGAAGAGGCCGGGGTGGCTCACAGGAAGCCTGGAGCCAGCCCTCTTCGGCCACTTCACCCCTGCCCTAAGCTCTGGCCGAAAATGAAGCCCTGAGGGGGTTGACCCTTCAAGGAATCCCCTCCCTCCCTCTCCATCCTTCAATACATCTGGCTGGCTCAGGCTTGGGCTGCCACTGCTCCATCTGGCTCCCAGGAGGACACAACTGTCCCTGGGATGTCCCTGTCCACTCGGATCCATTCAGCCCTCCTTGCTGCCCCTAAACTCTGAGGAGCCCATGAGCCCTCATTCAAAGCCAAGCCTGGACGGATGAGGGCTGCAGGTAAGAGAAAAAACATGTTCTTACCTTCTGCATCCAACATCTTGGGTATGTCGAGGTATTTCTCAGCCACTTCAAAGGCATTGTTCAGGTTGGTGACTGGGTCGTCCTGGGGAAAACAGGAAGAACTTAGGGGTCAGAGGTAAGGGCAGAAGGGCACAAGGGCTGGCCTGGGAAGGGGGAAGCCCCGAGGGACAGGGCTGGAAAAGGTCCTTTTGGAGTTTTCAGCCCCATGTGCTATTCGGGGAGGAGGGCACACTATAAATGCAATTCCTATCCAAAGTGAGGCATGCTATGGACCTTTTTCTCCAGAAAGATGCCCTTTTCATAGAATTTCCAGCCACCCATGGGCCAGCCTCAGACTAATGCTCTGCCCTGAAACCTGACAGGCATGGTCCAGACCTGAGAGAGCACTGGGGTGGGTGGGGGAACAAACCCAGAGCGCCTACGTTCCTTCCTCAAAGTACCCTGGCTCCTTTGTGGGCTCTCCACAGCTATGGAGCTTAGTAGTCTACTTCACCCTGATCTCCTTCACCTCTCCTAACCAATTTCCAGCTGTAGCCTAATTTATCTTCTCACTGTGGCCAGAACAGGTGAGGTGTGGGCTTGTGCCTGCCTCTGACTCTAAGCTGCAACTTTCTCCAGGGCCCATTACCTGTCCTGCCAGCTCAGGGGGCACTGTTCTCCTTCTGCAGCCCTCCCACCCCATTGGCTTGAGCACATGCTGTGTGAGCTGTGTTGCTGGTTGGTCTGGACACGCTCCTGTCTTCCCATGTGGTTGGGAGCTCTGAGAGGGCAGGGCCTGCCTCTTCCATGCTTTGTACAGGAAAACTAGACCAGGACTCTGCACAGGAAATGCTGGCTGGTGGCTGATGGTTTGGAACTCCCTACTTTCCTACCCCTTGGGCAGAATAGAAATGTTTCTAGAATCCACAAAGCCAAGGAAGGGGACTTAGAAGGCATGTAGGACTGGTCCTAAAATAGCTCTGGCTGGTTGCAATCCCCATGGAGGGAGATGGACCAGTCCCCAAGGGAGTAAGGGAGGTGAGAGTCAGCCAGCAAGCCAGGGACCTGGGGGAGCTGGCATGAGGCTCTCCCAGCCTGCCCAGCTGAGCACAGAATTCAGTAGTGGAGGCTGGCAATGCATGGCCCTTGGGGATGGTGACCCAGAGGGGAGCTGGAGATGCATACCTTTCTCAGTTTGTCATACTCAATCAGCTCTGGTCTGTGCCGGTGGATGAGGGCATTGAAGGCAAGACCGTCCTTCCAGCTGGGGGTGAAAGGCAAATGTTAAGAGGAGGGGACTCTTACTGTAATGGGATTGCTGAATGCCACTGTGTACCCACAGCAGGGACCTGGTATGGCAGGAGCTAGACCTGGTATGGCAGGAGCTAGACAGCCTGGGGTCAAATCCCAGATCTATTAACAGCATGACCTTGAGCAAGTCACATAATATTCTGCTGCTTCAGTTGCTTTGCTTATTAAATAGGGATAATAACAGTACCTTTTCTCACAGGGTTTTTGTGAGAATTAAATGGATAACTGCTTAGACCAGTGCCTGACACACAGCGAGTACTGTCTGACTGCCGGCTATTGAGGTGGTCTGACCCACCCCATACTGTACATGTGGGGCCCCACTGCACAGGACAGGCCTGCTGGGGGGAGATGATCCACTGCAGGAGGCCAGTGCCCGAACTGTGTAGCCCCTGCACCTTGGCCAACCTCACCCACAGAGGGTCAGTCCATGGCTGGCCTAGGTGCAGCATGACATGAGCGTCTATGGAGGAAAATAATCCTCTAGAGGGTCATAAGCTAGACTCATCATATTCTCCTCCTGGAAATCCTCCAGAAGTTTTTCTTTCTGGGTTCAAATACAACGTTACCTGCTCAGAACAGCCATCCCAGTACTTTCTATCACCTGTTTTGCCACCTCTCACAGTACTTGTCTCACTATCTGAAATTATGTGGCTGGACATCTGTCCCACTGTGAACTGGTGGTGCCTCTGCTGCAGGGTACACTTCCAGGGGCAGGGCCAGTGCTTTGGGGCTGCTGCTTCCCCACTCATGGAAGCAGCAGGTGCTCAACAGATATTTATTGACTGAACAAATCAACAAACGAATAAGCTCAGCTGGCTGAAGGCTGGAAAAGGAGGGGATACAAAGAGAAGTGCCTTCAGGGGAGGGGGCTGTGTGCTATTTATGATGCACCATGATCGGAAAGGCCCTCAACAGGAAGCACGAGGCTCTGGAGAGCCCAAGGACACAGCCGTACCCTTGTGGCTCCCACAAGGTCCTCTGTGGGCCTGTCCCAGGGCTCAGAGGGGTGAAGTCTCATGCCAAGAGGGATCTAACCTTGGAGCCACCCCAAAGCCTGTGCTGCTAACCAGCAGACAGCCCTGCCACTCTCTTGACCATGTGTGATATTGGCCCTCCCATCTCAGTTACTGCCTCATTTCCCTCTCACCCAAGGGATAGCATGCTCATGGCTGGGCTGGGTCTTACTCATCTTTGCAGACAACACATTTCCCCATCTCTAAGTTCAACACAACAGCAATCTAAGGACTGGTCCCTCTTGCAAGGTCAGAATAAAGAAGAAATCAGTTGTGCTTTTGAGAGTCACCTAGCTTAGGGAGAAAGAAAGTTCTGTAAGGCCCTAGGGAGTGGCAGGCCTTACTGCTTTCAGGAAGTGACTGTCTCCTCCTTGGGGAGGAGCAGGGGACTTTCCAACAGCAGCAGGGACTCACTTAGGGAGAGCATATCAATGGCAGGCAGGAGGAAACACCTTAAGTCCTGGAATGAAGGAGGAGGATGAGAAGCAGGGATGCTCTGGCCAGGCGCTCACCTGATGTGGAAATTCTGCACATTGACATTCTTATATGGGGCAGTCTTTCTCTGGCACCAGAGAAGGAGCCCTTCCTTGGCAGAAGTCTCTGCAAAACACACAAGGACAATGAGACTGGCTCAAGAATAAACCCTGAGAACTCTCATCCCAAGCTGGATGGGACTTCTAGTGTCAGGCCTGGGAGCAAACAAAACCCAAGGAGGAGACATCAGATATCACAATAGCAGTAGGGACACCTGCCCCTCTCTGGATATGGACAGACCACCCATCCCAACTGACAGTAAGTATGGCCCAGCCTAACCCTCACAGCCCCAACAAGTCATCTGCTCAGGGCTACACGGGAAAGCAGCTACACCAGAACCTGAGCTTGTGCCATGTCCCCGCTCACGAAGCTTGCCTTTAGCCACCAGAGCACTGTCAAATGAGCCCTGAATGCCTACCCTGGCCTCTTCTGCTCCTTAGACAGGAATCCTATGAGGGCAGGGAACAAGTCTGTTCTGGTCACTACTGCAACCCGGCATTCGAGAGGAGCCCCCTTGCACATGCTGGTCTGGCAGTTTTTCTCCTCTGTGGTACACTGGTAGTTAGAGAAAAGTGAAGCCTATCCCAGAATGCCCTGAGCTGTCCCAGGATGGACCTGACAGGTCCTCTGAGGCAAAGGTCCAAGGGAGATGGGGGTGTCAAGCTGGAGGAGAACCAGCCCAGGCCCAGCTCCGTCACTAGTTTCCCCTGTGACTCAGGCTGCTGGGCTGTGAGACAGGGCCGGTCATCCTTTCTGCTTCACGAGGGAATGGGGGGGGGGGTTGTCTGTGAGCTGGAGGCTCTGAGAACAGTAGCACTCTGGGTGGACTCACAGTGGAGAGGCAGGAAAGACTGCGGGAAGGGTGGGTGGCTGGGGAGGACCCCTGTCAGGGGCATCCAGTGACCACACACTCCTGTGCAGGATAGTCCCTGGGAGTCATCCCAAGGAAGCAGGGAAGATGCTTGAAGCACAAAAGCAAAACTTCAGGAATTCTAACCTAACTTGTTCCAATTTGGAGAGCAAAAAGGTGGTTTTCACCATCACTACCTCCCCCTCTTTTTTGGCTTTTTGAGATGGGTTCTCTCATGCAGCTCAGGCTAGCCTGGAATTCACAATCCTCCTGCCTCGGCCTCCCAAGTGCTATGATTTTAAGCCGTGTGGCACAACTCCCTGGTTCTCTATGATCTCTTACCTTCCACAGAGATGTCCTGGATGGCAAACCTCAGGATAATGGTCCAGATCATTCCCAGGGTCATCTTTGCATTGCCGTCTACTATCTCTGCACACAGGGAAGGAGGCGGAGGGGGTGAAGGTTATTAAACCAGAGTGAGGTGCCTTACCTTGCCCTGGAGGCAGCCTGATTCCAGGACTGGACCACCAGGCCGCTGCCCCTGCCCTGGGGGAAGTGTGCCCCACACTCACCAGGAGGACTGTTTTGCAAACCTGCTACTACTACCAGCATCACAGCACAGCTCTCTGCATGCATGTTTCCTGGGCTACAGGGCCGCACCCCGCCCCCCGGCCAGCTCGCTGTTGTGATGCAGCTCACAAGACTGCTCCTCGTGGGGACTGTGCCCAGTGTGTGGCACGTCTCTGTCAGGGCCCTCATTGTTCAGCAAAGCTATGTCTTTATCCAAGCAGTACCTGTCTTGAGGCTAAGACTTTCAGTCTCTGCTTGGTCAGCGTTGCACTAGTGTCTGCTGAGAATCCACCACCTCCTTCCAGCCGCACTGCTGTCTCTTCCCAGAGCCTGACCTGGCTGCCTCCTGTGGACCTCTTCAGCCCACTCCTATACTGTAGCCACGTGTGTCAGATTTGTATCATGTCACTGTTGAAAGCTCCACTGCATTGGCGATGACACAGTGTTCCCTGGGGCAAGCCACCCAGCCCCAGCCTGCAGCCCTCCATTCCCTCTTAGCACCCTTTGGCTGTACCCCTTATCAAGCCAAGCTCTTTCTTACCGTGTGTGCACACGTGCACATATGCACACACGTGTGTGTGTGTAGTAGGGACTGAACTCAGGGACTCTGCACTGAGCTACATCCCCAGCCAGCTCTTTTTTAATTTTTTGGGACAGAGTCTCACTAAGTTTCCCAAGCTGGGTTTGAACTTACCCTCTTGCCTCAGCCCCAGTGAGTGCTGGGATTATAGGCAAACAGCACTACTCCAAGCTAAGTGCTTCCTTACTTTCAAGACTTTACACCTCTGTCCATCCACAAAGGCACCCAAGCCCTTTCCCTCAAATGGCTGAGTGAGCCTTCTCCTCTCACAAACCTCCACTTGTTATGTCAGGAATCGCATCTGTCACACTGTCATATAAGGAGCCCTTGTTCCACCCATTCTGAAGCTTTCTGGTGTCCCAAATCTCAGCACAGAAAACAGGAGTTAGGGCAAAACGGCTTCAGAAGAAAGGCTGAGAGAATGGCCAGACAGAGCAGCTCCACTGCCATAGCAACCTGGGAAGGGCTGGGTGAAGGACTCCCAGAGTCTCTGATCCTCAGGACCAGAAAACTTGAGGGTAGGTAGGCTTGGAACGAGTAGAGTGGTCACCCAGAGAAAGGAGTCCCACTTCCCAGGGACACACTTAGAGGGAAAGGGGTTCTGTCAGCCACCGTAGAGGAGTTGCCAGGCCAAGCCAGGAGCCTAAAGCTGAGGGCAGCTTTTGGCTTTCCCATATGGGATGAGGAAATATGCTCAGTCTGCTGCCCAGAGGCAGGGGAGGGACCCACCATCTACTCTGGTCTTGCCCTGGGGTTCAGGGCCCCACCAGGCAGAACCACTTGCTCCTTCCCATCGTGGAGTGAAGGCAGCTCTCCCCTCAGGAAAGCTGAGCACCAAGGGTGGCCGCCAGGATGACGACCCAAGTACACACCAGTGCTATAGGTGCAGGCTGCCCATGGGGGCCTGGTGCTCCTGGGAGGCTCCGGGGAGTGGAGGAAGGTGGGTCTCTTGTGACATGCCACAGGCTGCTCCTCTGACCTGCAGCTGTGCCCCCAACTGCTGTTCCCTCTCATAACCCCCACAAGGAAGTCACCAAGCTCCTGAAGCTGTCAGGCTGTGTGGACGGGCAGGAAGACAGAGAAGGCCCAGCAGTTGGGGTTCTCAGGTGCTCCAAGCTGTGGAATGTCTCCATTGGGCTACCTTCCAGCTTTGTTCCAGGGCCCGATGGTCACAGGGATTGGTAGTGAACCAATTTGGGCATGAAGAGGGAAAATTTTCAGACAAGAGTTTTTCTCCAAATGAAACTGAGGCCTGCCACGGTCTCTCCCTAACCCCTTCTGTATTTACAGACCAGCGTTTGAGCAAAACAAATGCAGCTGTGAGAAGCAGAAAGCTGGCAAGGGGCCCAGAGGAAAGATCCATGCAAGGACAGAAAATCTCTGGGCCTGATTGAATTTTTGGGTTTTGACTTTTTTAAAACAAACACCAACCACCTCGGCTGTGGCATGCAAGGCTTGGCGCCCCTCCTTGGAGAGGTCCAGGGCTAGGGCAAGGCCCTGGAACTCAGTACACACATTCTGGCCTGGAGTCCTGGCCAGACTCTCTGGGCCCTGTCATTAACAGCAATTAGTTTTCTTTGTTTTTCTAGAAGCTGGGACAATACAGATGTCAGGGCAAGAAACCCCGCTCTGACTAACGAGCAAAACTGTGAGCCCTGGCTGCTGCCGAGCTGGGTCCCATCAGGCCATAACTCATCTCCAAAAACACCTCTGAACCCAACCCGGGGCCCTAAGGAGGGTGGTCCTGGGCATCTACTCTAGACAAAGAGGGTCCTGGTGTGGCTTGAGACCAGACTCTCCCAGCCTGTGTGCCCAGGACAAAGTGTGGGAACTGGCCTTTGCCTCTGCATGTTCCAGTGTCCTGCCTGAGGCCCCTAGTCCCTATGTTCCCTCTACACTCCCTCCTTTCCACACACATCAGGCAGGACTGACGGCAGTGGTGCTCCTGACACAGAGGCCAGGAGTATGAGTGTCCATGAGTGTCCAGGGTCCAGATCAAAGCCACTCCTGCCCCTCAGGGTTGGCTGCACTGTACGTCCTAGATTCGGACTGCACCCATGGGGACTTTTCTGCAGGGTGGTGATGGGGGGAGGGACTCCCCAGTGTCCTCTCAAGGGCAGTCACTGTAGTTACTGCTATGTCTTGGGGCAAGCCTCAGGTACTCTGTCACCATGAAACTTCATGTGGTCAGAATGTAGATGTTGTGCCTCAGAGAGTGAAGGTCAGTAACTCAGCTAGACCCTGGCTGCCCCACCTTGAGCTCACCTTCTGCCCCAATGGAGACCAGCTTGACTCCTTTGCTGGCGATAAAGTCCAGGGCTTTGTTCACATTGTTGATCTTGTGCACTCTCATCTTCCCCCTCTCAGGCTTAGGTAACCGCTCCCCTGAGAGAAGCATGGAGAAAGGGAAGGGAGACAGAAGCCTTAGCGTTTCTCTGCTTTCCCAACCCAGGCCCCCCCCCAATCCACAAGCCAGTCTCACCCCCGCACACAGGCTGACAACTCAGACACAGGCTACTCCCATGGAAAGGGTTGCACTCTCTTCCCCAGCAGTGATGGGGCAGCAGGGCAGGCAGTGTCTCTCAGAGCAGCAGGAACAGGGCATCTAGACTGAGTGTGAGCTGCACTGTGCCGATGTGAGCCTCACCTGAAATGACCTCCAGGAGGAGCATAAGCTTGAGCCCATCTCGGAAGTCTTCGTCGATGTTCTCTATCTGTGTGCCCGCCTTGCGCAGGTGGGAGTTGCACCAGGCTGTGAAGGTCTGGGGAACAGAACACAGAATGGCACAGAGGGTCAGCCCAGGTGTTGGGACTCTCTATTAAGGTGCAGGCCACAGCCCTGACCCTGGAAGGACAGTGGCCACCATAACATACGGGATTGTGGCCAGATCCTGGTGCCACCATCTATCTACATTGTTTCTGATCTTTACAATGACTCAGGCAGATAGACACAAGGAAACTAAGTCCCAGGGTGGTGAACACTGGCCATACCATCACATGGGTGGTATGCAGCAGGGCTTGGATTTGAATCCAATTCTGCCAAGCCTAACAGCAAGTATGGTTTCCACAATGCCCAGCAGCCACAAGGGAGCCTGTACATGAACCAGGCTCTAGAGCTACCACTCATCATACCAGCTCCGCAGGCCTGAATAAGCACCAGGTCCTGCAGGCTGCAAACAACAGGCAGGACTCTCCCTCAAGGACCCTCAGTTATCATTCCCAGACAAACCACAGGTCCCAACCAGGCACTGGCTCAAGCTGTGACTTTCCCGTTCATCCGTAGGTGTGTGTGACCTGGGACAGGAAAGCAGCTGGGAAAGAAAAACCTCCTATAAATTCAGGATTTTCTTCTCTTTCTTTGAGCTTAGGGTGGCCCTGCAGCAGCCTCCCTGAAAGGCCAGGAATGTAGAGCCTAAACCCCAGGTATGTTCCCATGCAGCTGGGTTTCCTGCAGGCCAAATGCCCTGGCCTTTCTGAAGAATATTCCATGCATGCCTCATCCTTCCAAATCTTAAGGCCCGCTGTATTCTAGAGGGGGCTGGAAGGCATGTGGAGGAAGGTACGCAAAGGCAACTATATCTAGGAAGAAAGTTTTGAAGGATCAGCTGCAAGGTGAAAAGGCATATTCTGGTAGAGAAGGCCCTAAAAAGAAGCCTAAGTTCCAGGCCTGAATGCACTGATAATGTGGCGGAACACTCAAGCACAGGGCCACTCAGACCCTGCTAGCTGGGGCATGTTATCAAACATCACCGCCACACAAGTGGCTCACATCATCACTAGTTAACGCCAACATGCCCAGACACCTTCTCCCCACCCCACCCCCAGCAGGGTCTGGGAAAAACCCAAAGCTTCCAATTCTTCTAGGAGCCTCTGTACCCTACACTCTGCCTGCCCCCTCAATCTTCAGGGGCTGGAAAAGAAGCAGGCAGACTGCCAGGAACGTGTAAGAGCACATTCCACCTCCAGGGTGTAGGCAAAGGCCACATGGGGGACATTCTTGGGGCCTCTGGCCAAGCACCAAGTGTTTTGACAACTGCCATCAGACCTGCTCATTCAGACTCAACAGGAGGCTCCTCCCAGACAAAGATGCTGCTAATGAGTAGGCTGCCCCACAGTGCAGACCCAGCATGAGGTTTCCTTCCAAACCTGAATGGGGCCAAATGAAGGTGCCCAGCCTCTCAAAAAGGTGGAGACAAAGGGCCCTCCTGGTCGCATGATGTCACCCCCCACCCTGGCTGAGGAAGCCTCTGCCATGCTTCTGCTTTGCCATGTAGCCAGCCCCCATCATCCCTTAAAAGGCAGCCTTTCTCAGAGCCACTCCACTGTGTCCCCCAACCCAGTTGCAACTGAGGAGGCCTACCCTGTGCAGACTGCTTCCCAGCACCTTTCTCTGGTTGAACAGTTATGTTTCCTCTTCTGTCTCCCCACAGTTGGGAGCCCCTGAGAAGATGGTATAAAGCAGGTCCTCACTAAGGAGAACCTCTTCCCCATCATTTCCTTTAATTCCCACACACAACTCTGAATTCAGACAAACTAGGGCCAGAACGCTAGTTCCAACACTCATACAAGCAAGTTACCCAACGTTTCTCAAGCCTGTTTCCTCTTCTATAACATGGCAATAAAGATTCCACCCGGGGCACGGTCAGCACCACAATTCCAGGTGATGACACCTACAGAGCACAAAGCAGCTATTAGTAAGTGGCAGCCCTGAGCCTTACAGGGTCAGGCACCATGCCGCATCCCCCCTAACTCTGGTCTCAGAAATCCTGCCACTCCTTCCATACAATGTTTCCTCTGTTCCCTGCCTCCCCTTACGACCATACCCTTGGCTCTCTGGCAGATAACATTCTCTAGTAACTTTCTGGATATATGTGCACACAAGCTCTCTCCTACCACATGTGAGCTCCAATAGGATAGGAAGAGCATTTCACATGTCTTTGGGGCAAGTACAGAGCTCAGAGGCCCTGTCACACAGAGGAAAGCAGCAGATGGGGCTGGGCAGGAAGTGGGCAGGAATGCCAGGTCTCTGCTCTTGCTTGTGCCCAAAAGACACTATTGGACAACAAAGTGGTCAAGTTACAACCCACATCCTGAGGACTCAAGAGGGGAGTTCCTGGAGGCTGAGTATTACAGTGCTACAGGGAGACAGGTCGAGGAGGCACCTGGTCCTGCAGGGAGGCCTGGGAACCCCTTCCCACCTCACCTGGTGTGGACTGATCCCACACACTCTGGAAGGGTACAGACCTGGGTAATTGCCAGCTCCTCTGCTTACTTGTTCTGTGTCCAACCAAGTGACTTTACCTACTTAAGCCTGTTTCCTTCCCTGTAAGATAGATTTATCAGAATCTACCTCCTGCAGTTGTTCTAAGGATTAAATGGGGGAAAATGCATTTAGAGCATCTGTCACAGTCCCTGGCCCAAAGTCTGTGACAGATGAATCATACACACCCTGACTGACTGGCTGCTTCCTATTCAGTCCCCCAAGAGTAGCAACCTGTCTCCTCTGCAAAGGCCTTCGGCTGCCTCCCGGTGGGAAATGGGACTGTAGGAGGCCCTCCGAAGACAGTTCCCTCTCTACCTGTGGAGGTGCTGAACAAACTTCGTTCACTTGCATCCAGGCCATCTGTCCTCACAGAGGTGGTGGCCTTACCTGACCTCCAAACACATTCCACCTTTGCTCACCCTTTGTGCAGTAAACAAGAGCTGCAGCTTGGGGCTCACACAGAGCTGCATTCAAGTTTTCCTCTGCCACTGAGGCAACCTATCACAACCTTGGGCAAGTGATGAGCTTCCTTTCCGTGCTGATGAATGAGGGCCATAACCTCTCCTAAGATGAGGATTAAACAAACGATGCCAGTGAATCACTTAGCACCATGCCTGGCACAGATTAAGTGGCGTTATACATATGTCAAAGAAAGGTCTATTTTTAAACAAATGGTGGCTGGGGTGTGTGCATCTGTCTTCCTGACTGGAAGCATGCAGAGCCTCCCTCAGGACACAGACCAGGCACTTGGGGAGAACACCCATGTGCAGGGGGTGAGGGACTCCCTCCTGACCCTGAATCTGACACAGGTCCAGGGGCCCCCAGACAGGCCTCCCGCCCTCAGGCTATGCCTCGCTTGGCCACGTTTCCTCCTAGAAGGAGGCTCAGGAGGCCACCTCAGGGAACAAGCAACTGCAGATGTCACCTCTTTATGCAGGGAGACTGGTGAGGAAGAGCCAGAGTTTGAATTAAAAATTCATAGTTTTTTCTACTTGGTTACAAAAATAATAACTCTGCTTAGATCCTTCCTCTTCCTCCCTAGTTTAGACTAAAATTGTGGGGTGGATCATGTAGAGGGGTAGTTTCTATAGATGGAGGCCTCATTTGCTCACCGCAAGCCCCTCCACTGTGTGAAGTTTTCAGGTGTGAGCTACAGACAGCACAGCTGACAGGTCCCATCTGCTCTCCAACACCCTGGGCTGTGAGGGGTCGCACACATTCATTTCCTCAACATCCACGGCTCTGTGTCCACCAGGGCTGGGCCCGTGCCAAGGGCCTCAGTGACCATGGCAGACAGAAGCATTACTCATGTGGCACCCAGGCTGAGGACACAGAGGGTCCCATGAGTCCAACACAGGGAGCAATACCCTCAGCAAAAGTGACAATCACAACTACAGCAGACACTCCACAGAGCCAGCTATGTGCCAGGAAATGCTCTAGACATTTTGCCACACACTACCTTCTCTCATGCTCCCACCATCTGATGAGGCAGGTGCTGTTACTGCTCTTGTTTTACAGATGAAGAAACCAAGGGCCTCACATTAGTCATTCCTAGAAAGCTACAGAGCTAGATTTAAAGCCAAGAACCAAGGCTTCAGAAGGCCCCCTCAGGGACCAGTTATATTTGTGCCCACTGTCTTAAAACAGGAGCTGAGTGTTCTTGCACATTAGGGGAACACCTGATTGAGTGGAAGTTTCCTTGAGGAGGTTAATTCTCACACACTGATCTGAATGGTGAGAAAGAATTACACAAGAATAAGGAAGACTCAGACAATGGGAAAAGCATGTGCAAAGGCCCTGTAGCAGGAGAAATACTCAAAGTAAGGAAAGAAGGGAGTGAGGGAGGGAGCCTCAAGGAGCTTTTCAAAGGTCACACTGGTGGGGTGTGGCTGGAGCGTGCCTGTGATCTCAGCACTTGGAAGGCTGAGGCAGGAGGATCATCTAGAGTTAAAGGCCAACCTGGGCTACATAGTGAATTCAAGGCCAGCCTGAACTACAAAGCAAGACCCTGTCTCAAAAAAGAAAAACAAACAAACCAAAAAAGTCACACTGTTGCGTGGGGAAAGAGCCAAAGGGGCACAGGACAATGTTTGATGAACAGGAAGAAAGGAGGGGCAAGAGCCTAGGAGAAACCTCTTCCTCCTAGGAAAAGGAGGAGGAAGAGGAGGAGGAGGAACACCAGAAAGCCATGTCAGGGAAGTCTGTGATGGAGAGCCACAAATTCATGCTCTCAATTTTATCTGGGAGGAACCAGAGCTCTAGGCAAGGGAAAGGCAAAAAGTATCAAGTTCTTTTGGGCTTTACTGTCATTTTCCAGGAGCACCACTGACTCTAACCAGTTAGCCCACTCCAGTGGCTATGACCTCAGCATCTCATCTATGAGGCACTTAATGCATGCACCTGCCTGACAAGACACTGACCTGGAGGCCATATTATGGACTGGACATGGGAGGAAGCCAGACAGACATAGAATGTATATTCTGGTTTTTTTGTTTTTGT